CATAGGTAGACTTTTAGTAGGCAAGAGATTCAGACTTTCTGAGGCATTTACTTCCCACAAGTCAGACATGCTTCTCTAAATAATCCCAATAAATTCATTTATCTCGCCAGGCTAGACTTGACTCTTTATCCTCCTGTCTGAAGTCATACATCTCTTTGTCTTCCTGGAAAGGTCATGTAACAGTCTCCTCAAAACATGACACTCAGGATGTCTTTAGATCCACACAAGGCCCACTTTCTTAGGACAGGCCAGCGCTGGGGTTAAAGCATTTGCTGTGGCCAGCTGGATGGCTTCATTCAATGCCTAGAACCTAAGGTAAGATACGAGAACCAATTCCCAAAGTTGTCCTGACCTCAACACATTTGCCAAAACACAAACTGTAATAGTTTTTTTTAAAAAAACAAAAACAAAACAACAACAAAAAAAAAAATCCCAGAAGGATGGCTCAGCAGGTAAAGGCACTTGCTGTGTAAGGTTGGCAACCCGAGTTCAATACCCAGAATCCACATGGCCAAAGAAGAAAAATGACTCCACAAAGTTGTCCCCTGGACTCTGTACACATGCCATAACACAGGTACACACATGGACATACGCATGTACACGTGCACACACACTAATAAATTTAAAAAGAGAACTCAGGACTTCTGGAGGAAAAAACAAAGGAGCAGAGGGCAGGGGACTCGGGACTCCCCAGGACCTCATTCCCAGTTAAGTGTCGAGCAGGATGCTGCGACACTTGTCTCTCCCAGACATTTGCTAGGAACCCCCAAAGGGGACCCAGCGGGGAAATGATGGGGACATGAGGATCCTGAGGGCTCAAGAGTGAGCAGCTCTGCCATCAGGAACCAATGCAGAGTTACCACCAGGCAGAAACCTACCACATCAGGATGAAGGAGGAAGCTAAGGCCAAATGTAGGTGGACAGTACCATGTTCACCACCAGCCCCAAAAATCCATTTGCGGTGGAAGGGCGGCCTCACGGAATAAAATCGGCCACAAGGGCTGCCACATTCCCCGAACACCCTTGACATGAAGTAGTGTCATTACCTATACTTCAATAAACATGAACCGTGGGGCTAGTATACAGATCAGCTGGTACGGTTCTTAGCTAGCAACATGAAATGAAGCCTTAGGTTGGATCATCAGAACCACATAAACCAGGCTTGGAAGCACATCTAATCTCTCGTGGAGTGGAGGACAGAGAATCAGAAGTTCAAGATCGCCCCAGCTTTACAACAAGTTCAAAGCCAGCTAAGGCTATCTCAGAATCTGTCTCAAAAAAAAAAAAATCTAAAAGCCAACCAACTAACAAAACAACCATAACTATATGAAAAAAGCTTTTAGCCAGGCAGTGGTGGTGTACACCTTTGATCCCAGGTGGATCTCTGAGTTCAAGGTCAGCCTGGTCTACAAAGTGAGTTCCAGGACAGACTCTAAAGTTACACAGAGAAACCATTTTGAAAGCCAAAAAGAAAAAAGCTTTTAAAATACAATAAAATATATATATTTATCAATCAGAGCCGGATAGTGGTGGTGCACGCCTTTAGTCCCAGCACTCAGGAGGCTGAGGCAGGCAGATCTCTGTGAGTTCGAGACCAACCTGGTCTACAGAGCTAGTTCCAGGACAGGTTCCAAAGCCACAGAGAAACCCTGTCTCGAAAAAAAAAAAACAAAACAAAAGCAAAAAAAGAAAGAAAAATAGGAATAACTAACAGGCTGTCTCTAGGAATCCATGTATTTCTTCCTTTTTTCTTTTTGGTTTTTTGAGACAGGGTTTCTTTGTATTGCTTTGGAGCCTGTCCTGGAACTCGCTCTGTAGACCAGGCTGGGTTTGAACTCACAGAGCTGCCTCTGCCTCTCTCTGCCTCTCATCAAGGACCAACTGTGTGTGTGTGGGGGGGGGGGGGGTGCTCCCTGAGGCCTCTCTGCCCTCTGCTGGCATCTCACCATACTGCAGACAGCAGGACCAGGACCAGACACCAGGAAAATAAAACTCCCAGTTTAGGTGATAAGCAGCTCCCAAACAGAAATGCCTCCTGTTCCTTTGTCTCTCTCCCCCACCCCCACCCCCAAGAAGACAAATGGCTTCCTGACAGTACAGTAAGGCCTGTTCCTCAGGCACCCTATTCCCCCAGGACTTCTTAGGCCTTCAGGCTTGCCTTCCATGGCCCTTACAGTTCTTCTTGCCTCTCCACACTCTATAGACAAGTCTGTGGGGGACTTACAGCCAGCACACAGTCAGCCATGCACATCTATTCACCATGTAGCCTTGGGGGGAAATGAGGGGAAGCGTGTATTGCTAATGGTAGTGAAATGACCTAGATAGCAAGAACACACTTTTCACCACAAAGAGGCTTTCCATCTGCACTACAAAGCCAGCTGCAGCTTTACACACGCCGCATGGATCGCTGCTGGACAGAGAAGACCCTAGCTAGCTGTGCAGCTAGGAGGAAAGGAAGGTGGGGAGCACTGTTATGTCACCTGGACTTTCTTCTGGTCGGTAGCCATCGTGCCATCGCTCACCAGGCCAGAGTTCAGCACCTGCTCCAGGACACTGGTCAGCTTCTCAGCATCATGCCCTGCACTGGAGCCTGACGTCTCAACCAGGACATAGAATGGACTCTCTGCAAGGAGCGGGAGATGTAGTGTAAGCCCCGGCCCCGCCTGCTGGCATCCAGAGTTAGAAGCACTGCACTCTGGGTCCCGAGGCAAAGGCAGCAGCTCTTTGGGTGCCTGGGGTGGCCTATGGGTACACGCATGCAGGCAGGCTAAATTCCACTCTGTTTAAATGTAAGGTTTCTGCTGGCAGAGAAAACAGACCAAAGGGGGCCCTCTGCTTGATGCCTCACCCTGTTCACTCTCAGCTTTGTATCGGGGCCCAGCTGAACACCTCCCAAGAGCCTCAGGGACAGGGCTGGCACAGCAAAGCAACGGCGGGCTCCAAGAGCTGGCTTCTCTGCTCTTTTTTAAATGGTTACAAGCACACCAAATAATATGTAAAATGTTCCTGAGCCCTGGCATCTAGTCTTTGGGTTAAGATACACTAACAGCAGTCTGAACAAGCATATTCACTGTCCTAAATTATCCAGAATGGACTGGCTTCTGCTTCACAGGACTTACAAACACTATTTACTACTTTTTCATGGCTAACACCCCTGGCCTTTAAGAAAGTTGAAAGGGAACAATTTACTCCCCTTCTTTCTTCTCAGAACTTGTTTTTTTTTTTTTTCTATTAGACTAATAAAGGAAAAAATCAATAGTGACGCCTGCTGCTTGCACAAAGAATTGTGTTTGTTGTTTTTTTTTTTTTTTCCTACTAGACTAATAAAGGAAAAGTCAATAGACATACCTGCTTGCCCACACATGCAGGAAACATATACTCCTTAAAGACACACAAGGTAAAAAGATGAAACTTCAGGGACTTACTAAGTTGTACAAAGAACTAGATTTGATACTCTCAAACAGTGAAGGGATCTACGACAGCATAGAGAAATAATGTAAGGCCTTCCAGAACAGAACTGGAGCTCTGTGGAGGGTTTCCCACTCTGTGAGGATGTCTCCCGTGCCAACCCACATCGTCTATGCTGCAGTGTTCATGGATTTCTGGCCGGATGTCACACACAAAGGCCAGCCGGGACTCCATCTCTGTTCTGCTCGAAGTAGTTAGGGAGGACAAATCACTGCTACAACTGCCGTGGGACCCCAGTGCTGCAGCTTCCCTGGCCTTGAACTCCTCCCTCTGCAGGCGGTACTGTTCAGTCTCTGCCTGCTTCAGCCTCCAGTTCTTTTTCTTGTGGGCCTTGACCACCTTATTGGCTGCCTGCTTCTTGTCTTGCAGCAGCTGCTGGATACCTTGCCACTGACTCGCCATCACTGCGGGGCTCTCAGCAGAAAGAACAGCCTAGATCAATGACGTAAACACACCTGCCTTGTCTACTCTTGCATATTAATTTTTGGTTTGGTTTGGTTTGGTTTGGTTTTTGGTTTTTCGAGACAGGGTGTACTTTGGAGCCTGTCCTGAAACTCGCTCTGTAGACCAGGCTGGCCTGGAACTCACAGATATCCACCTGCCTCTGCCTCCCAAGTGCTGGGATTAAAGGCATGCACCACCAATGCCCAGCTCTTGAATATTGTTTTTATCTAAGTTGTTCCATTTACCAATAAATACAGACGTTGGGGTGAAAATGTACTAGATCAGAGAAGCCATGAATCTCTAAGTCCCTCCCTTCTCCCTCCTGGGCCCCTCTGTACCAGTCTTCGGGGTCCTCTGTACTCACTCTGGCTAATTCTTGTCAACTAGTAACCGCCCTGCCCCCAATCCAAGGCTAATTTTACTACACAGTCTCAAAGTTTCATAGTGCAATCAAATATCCCACAACACTTACAAAGCTCCAGAACCCCCCAGAGAAACCACCTATTGGTAGATGATCACCTCAGACATGGCTACTATATGCTAAAGGCCATAATTTCTACCACAAGACCTTACTGTTTAAACTTTCAAAAAATTAAATGTGCATTACTAATTTACTGAGGGGCATTGTCCCCTTAACACCACATTAATGCTTCTTCTATAATAACAACAGTTCCTCCTGCTGTAGACTGAACAAAGTGTTAAAGACAGCAGAGCTTTCATACACAATGACCCATGGCCACCCAGTGCTCCTTCCCCACCCCCCCACCCCCCCCACCCCCCACCCCCGGGACACTCCATTGCCAGGACTTCTGAGCCATCCAACATGTCCCATGGTGTCCAAGCAGTAGGGCAGTGTTGCCAACACACACAGGGGTAGGTACCTTGTACTGGGTTGGTCAGGTGGAGGTGCTGCCCAACCAAATGCATGCATTCAGCGTCCATAAATTCAAACGCAGACAGGATCTCTCCCAGCATCCCCTTGCAAGTACTGAATGTCTGCAGAACCTCAGCAAACCCAGGGCAACCTGCAATGGGACACCGAGCATCAGGCACGGCAGAGTGAAGGACACGGGACGCAGGGCCTCACCCATCACCTGGCCAGGTCACCCCTTCTCAGAAGCCACATCAACCCAGCCCAGCAGGTGGAATGACTACAGGAACACTCCACAGCTCAGCCTGCACGTTCACTCAAGGTCTCGAGATCTGACACCATGTCTGAACTGCCACAGAGCACCCAGAATGCCAAAAGGAATCAGAGAGACACATCCTGGCCAAGTCTGTAAACATGGGGCCAGAGCCAAGAGTCATCAGAAGTGGGTCATTTCACTCGCCCATCAGCACTAAGGTCTAAGTTGGTATCAGAAATTCACTGGACACTTATCTATGGACACCTGAGATCTCTGCAGGGCTACAGGGCCAGGAGCCACAGCACAGCCCCAGAGTAGCTGCCTCCCAAGTATAGACGCAGAAGAGAACTAAGAATATCCACAGACAGATAATCAGCAGCCCTGTGGTAGGAGGTGACATTCCTGGACTTTAGAAGACCCAGGACCACCTAGCAAAAGTAATACAACTTCTTCCAAGAAGAAACCACCCTTACCCTAGGCCAAACCAAGAACTGAGAACAAGGCTCTGCTTACAACCCAAGGTAGCTCACAACACACAGACAAGACACTGTGAGAAACCAGGTCCTCCACTGCAAGAAATGATCTTAGAGGCATTTACAGAGAACACGGGGTTGGGAAATGTCTGATTCAGCAGACAGATGAAGAGTTAAAGAAACGGCCCATAAGCAATGTTGTGACTTTAAAAAGATAGAAAGTTGGCCCTGGGGAAATGGCCCAGTCTGTGGTAATGAGCTGGCTGACAAACAGAAGGACCTGACCCTCATCCTTGACACCCACATGAAAAGTCAAGCATCGGGCTAGAGAGGTGGCTCAGAGGTTAAGAGCATTGGCTGCTTTTCCAAAGGGCCGGGGTTCAGTTCCCTCTATAACCCTAGTTCTAGGGAATCTGACTCCTTCTTCTGGTCTCCATTGGCACTGCACACACACAGTGCAGACATGCATGCAGGCATAACAACGTACATGCAGGTAAAACAACATATGTGCTTAAAAAGAGAGAGAGAGAAGAAAAGCCATGATGGCATACACCTGGAATTCCCGCCCTGAGGAAATGGAGGCAGGTGGACCTCTGGCTCACTGGCCGGCCGGCTTAGTCTAATCAACAGTTACCAGGGCAATGAAAAATCTTATCTCAAGAAACAAAATGAAACATTACCTGTCTGGACTCCACAAGTACACACATAAATGTGTACCCCACGCACATGTATATGTGCACATATCTACACAAATAAAATAAATAAATAGATAAAAGGACATCAAAAGAACCAATAACAGAAAAGACCGTAAGACCTCCAGCCTCCTCTGGTAGGATTTGGTGGGTCAAGCCTGCCTATCTTCCTCCAGAACTCACTCAGCTCAACCGAATGAGTCAGCTTCAGGCAGAAGCTAGACAAACAATCCTCAAGAAGAGATGGCTCAGTGGTTAAGAGCACTTGATGCTCTTGCAAAGGACCTGGGTTCAATTCCCGGCACCCACACGGCACCTCACACTCATCAGTAACTCCAGTTCCAGGGGATCTGGCGCCCTGTCCTGGCGTCTGTGGGCTCCATGTATATATGTGATGCACAGACATACCTGCAGGGAGACGCTGATACACACAAAATAAAAATAAATATTTAAAAAAACGAAGGTAGACTAAGAACACGAGCCACAGGCAGCAAAGGCAGACCACAGACGACTCGCGTTCGCCGCACAGAAAAGGCCGTCAGAATGGTGTGAGAGTCCTATGCATGGAGTTGCTACAGCCAACTGTGGAGAGCCAGAGTGAGTGAGAAAAGACAGCAACTGCCCCATAGCAATTGCCACTCTGCCACTGTTTCTCAGAATCACACGACACACTTCTGAAATCCAGGCACAGTGGGACAAGAAGAGAGCCTCGGCTGTGTTGGAACGAAGGTGTCCTGACGGGAAACAGGCCATCGCTTCTGTTTCAAGCTACGCTGACACCTGGAGAGCCGGGCCCATGTCTCCAGACAGGAAGCAGAGAGGCGAGGACCAGTGTCTCATTCCAAGTTCATGCCCGCGTGCCAGAGCAGCTGCCCACTCTCCCCTAGCTGGCTCGGAAGAAGGCTGAGGGGGCCTACCGAGGAAAGCCACATTCACAGCCTTGGGCCTGGGTGGGCACAGGATGGACACAGCAGTGATGACCCCCAGCGTCCCCTCTGAGCCAATGAACAGCTGCTTCAGGTCATAGCCTGTGTTATCCTTCCTCAGGGAGGTCAGGCAGTTCAGGATGGTCCCATCAGCAAGTACCTGGCAAGAGGAAAGAGACAGGCGTTCCGGCATCTGTCACCCTTCCCTTCTCTGGGGATGCTGGCCCAGCTCCAAACACCCCCCCCCAAAAGAAAGGGTAGCCAGCCATAAACCCTCTGCCTCTCTACCCACCCCACCCCCATTTACTTCAAGATGAACCCTGGGAAAGAACAGAACCTGGAGTGAATTAATCAGACTAAAGGGACAATGCTTCTCCCCAGCTGGAGCAAGACACCCCCCAACCTCATCTTAAGCCAAGAAGTTCGTTGTCTGTCGAAGACTACACAGGGGGACACAGCTGGACGGACAGGGACGCACAGCTGGAGCACGAGAGACACACGGCTAGGAAGAGTATGGGGAACACAGATAAGGACGCAGGAACTGAGCTGCAGCGGGCAGGAAACATCTGAGAGAGAAGCCTCCAGAGCTAGGAGAGCAGAGACACAGCTTGCGGGCGGGGCTCACACCTAAGAGGCAAGAAAGCCCCCGGAAGGACAAGGAGCCCGCTGGGAGGGATGTACCGCGGAAATGTGCCTGCCCGCTGGGAGGGATGAACGAGATGTGCCTGCCCGCTGGGAGGGATGAACCGCCTGCCCTGAGGGCCCCCACACCTGAGGCCCGAGGTCGAGGTCGTTAAGGCATTGCTGGGTCCCATATTACAATTCTACCTGAGACCTGCTGGCTACTATGTCAAGCAAGTACAGAAAAATAGTAACAGTAGCTGGCAACCACCCGGAAAGCAAAACTACTAGGACATTGTGCCGCACTGGACAAAGCATGGCTTTCTATTTGCCCCGGTCACTTGGGTAAGTAAGACAGAAGCTCTGCCCCTAATTAGAAGCCCCCAGCCGATGGGAAAAGTAAGTTAGTCTTCACTGTCAACTTTACCAATAGAAGATCAGGAGCTGCCGAGATCACTCAGTGGGACAAAATGCCGCATAAGCAGAGAGCTTGAGTTCCAATTTCCAGCACCCATGAAAAAAACTGGGTCTAGAGCTTGTGAGATGGCTCAGGGGTAAGGGTACCTGCCACTAAGCCTGACAACCCAGATCAATCCCCATAATCTACATATAATCTACATGGCAGACATAGAGACCCAACTCCCACGAGCCGTCCCCTGGCCTCCACATATGTGCTGTGGTATGTGCGCGCACACACACACACACACACACACACACACACACACACTAAATATGGAGAGTCAGACACAGTAGCACATGTCTTTAATCCCAGCATTCAGGAGGTCGAAGCAGGTTGACCTCTGTGAGTCTGAGGTCAGCCTGATCTACAGAGAGTTTCAGGCCAGCCAGCGTGACACAGCAAAACCCCAACTCAATCAATCAATCACTCAATCAATCAATCACTCAATCAATCAATCACTCAATCAATCAATCAATGAGAAGGCTATTTGTGCTATAATCCCAGCACTGGGAGGCAGAGATAGGAGGTTCACTGGTCAACCAGTCTAGCCAGTTGGTGAGCTCTGAGTTCAATAGGAGACTATTTCAGAAAACAAGGTGAAGTATGGTAGAAGACACTCTGGTGCTCTCTGTCTCTCTCTGTCTCTGTCTTTCTGTCTCTCTGTCTCTCTCTCCTCTCTTTCTCTCTGACATACACAAGGAGATTGATTTTTAAATTTAAATTACCATGGAGGCACTGGGCCTGTGGTGTCTATGTGGTGTTTCCATAAATATTCAGCTGAGAGAAAAACCCACCTTGAATGCAGACAGCAACAAGCCCCAGCTTGGTTAGAATGGTGAGCACCAGATTTCATCTCTTGGTGCTTCCTGACACAATGTAGCCAGCTCGCTCACATTCCTGCCACCCCCTCTGCCCACTGTGATGGACTGCATCCTTTCAAACTGAGTCAAAATAAACCCCTGCTCCCTTTACCACCCTTGTCAGTTATTTTAACACGGCAGTGCAAAAGGTACTACTAACACAGCAAGGCTTCGGGAGGGAACTCATGGTCCAGGAGATAAGCTGTCAGGGGTGTGACTCCATACCAAGTTGGCCTTAGCTCTCCTTCCTCATTCTCCAATTCCTGAAAGTCTGGTACAAGGAGAATGTCACTGCCTGCGTAAAGTGTCCTTATGTGGACTCCACATGTCCCTGAGGCACCCAGAGCCAGGAACCATTACAACAGGGTCCCTGAGCCTGAATCGATACATACACACCAATATAGCCCCACGTCCTGTACCACTGCCAAGACAACAGCCTCAAACTGGAGCTAGGACATCCCCAGGGCAGGCCTGGCACCGTTGGAACCCAGCTCACCACTTCCAGGCCCAGGACAGTCCCTCGAAGTGAGCCATATCGCAGAAAGCGCAGACCACCGGCATTGGTTGCCACGTTACCCCCCATGTGGCAGCTGCCCTTTGCTCCCAAGTCCAGAGGCATGATGAAGTCTCGCTCCTGCACATAGCGACTGAGCTCCTCCAGCACACAGCCCGCCTGGCAGACCAGAATCCCTACAAAGAGCAACTGAGTTACCAACAACTTCTGGAACACTCACTGCTGAGAAACCCCAAACTCCTCTGTAGGTTAAGAACCTCCCAGAAAGAGTGTCCTCCTCAGACACCAAGGAAGAAGGATGTCTTTCTGCTAAACAGAAAAACAAAGCAAAAAAAAAAAACGGCTTGGTCCTTTGTAATTACAATATAGAACAAGAAAAATTAGGAAGGCAAAAATGAAGAAGAAAAGTTCTAGTACAATTCAGGGGATGGAGTAGAAGATAGGATTGTTACATAGCAGTGACCTCAGCCTGGGGAGCCCTGGGCTCCCTAGTTACATGTTTAGATACCTTTTTGGTGATGAAAAGCAACCCAGCCAGCCTCGGTATAGAAGGCTATGAAAACCCCTTCTCTGGTATCACTGCCTGGCCTTATACATCCAGGACAAGCCGCCATGCAAAGTCTGGATGCAAATGAGACTTGTGTGACATGCCCACAGTGTGAGCCACCCAGTGACTTACAGCACACAGAAGATGGCCCTGATGCAGCTGCCAGTTCCGTCCCAGCCAGGACCTGGTTCCCCTCCCCCCCCCCAGCCCAACACACACACACATACACATGAACACATTTGCTAGCCTAAGTAAGCACAGTCCCAGGCTAAAGAGGACAGCAGACAGGCAGACAAGCTCTTCTGGCATTAGGAAGGACAGAGGAGTTCAGAGCACACAGACACACAAGCTTACCGGATACATCATGAAAGCTGATGACTTTATTCATGAGGGCAGTGGACAGGATGACTTCATCAAAGACGGGGACACTGCCCCCCACCATGCCAGTGTTCCCTCCCTGTGGGTTCACAGCCAAGTTCCTCTTACAGCAATGCCTATACAAACACAGTATAGACATCAAGCCAGCATCCCCATGCCCAGATGACCAAGCCATTGCCGAAGGACAGGCTACCAAGCTGACACCTGTCTCCCGGACCTGATCTCCTTTCTAGGCCTTCCTGCAATGGGGGCTCTTCCCCCAATGCCCTGAGAAGAATTCAAGGGAGAGTCTACTCCAATACTGTCCACAGAGGAAGGGAGACTGACAGGGTCTCTGGGGCATGGGGAAGAGGGGTGAGAGGGGAAGAGCCCTCTCACAGTGTTCATAAGAGTCAGCCACACAATCTGTACCTCCACCACCCTACCCCCTCTAATCCCACTGCTGAGTTCTGAGCCTGGACCACCGGCCTCTAGGCTGTGCCTGGGAAGCATGCTCCAGCCAGGACTCTTGCAGATAGAGAGCTGGAGAAAGGGATGCCCTTGCCCATGAGCATCAAGCTACAGGAACCTTCTATTGGAAAGCTATTAATATGACCCGTGGTGTCAGAAGGCATTGTTTCCCTGCAGACATCGCCTCACCTAAGAATGAAGGGTATTTCTCTTACCTAAGAATCTGGGACACTTCCTCAGAGGTCTGGGGCCTCAGCAACACTTTACTACTGCCTGTGACAAGAAAATAGACTTGTCAGCCCACATGGAGGGATGTGGCTCAGTCACAATCCTTCCTTTCAACAGGCGAAGGGTGGTGCACACCTTTAATCCCAGCACTCAGGAGGCAAAGGTAGGTGAACTCTGAGTTCAAGGCCACCTTGGTCTACAGAGTGAGTTCCAGATCAGCTAGGGCTGTCAGACAGAGAAACCCTTGTCTTTAAAAACAAAAAATAGTGTGTAGGCACTGTCTTTGCTCCAGTCTCTCTCCAGGTACCTCTCCCTGATAACCCCCCTGTCCTGGTTAGTTGCTAGATCTGAAAGGAGGGAACCTCAAGTGAGAAAACCCCTCCAGCTGTAAGGTGTTTTCTTAATCAGTCTTAATTAGTAATTGATGGGTAGTGTGATCCCTGGGCTGCTGGTCCTGGGTCCTATAGGAAAGGAGGCTGAGCAAGCCATGGAAACAAGCCAGTAAGCAGCATCCTCCATGACCCCTGCATTAGCTCCTGCCTCCAGATCCCCACCCTGGGTGCCTTCCTGTCCTGACGCCTTCAGTGATGAGCAGTGATATGGAAGCACAAGCCAAACACATCCTTCCCTCCCCAAGCTTCTTTGGTACCAGTTTCATCTCAGCAATAGTAACCCTAAGTAGGACACCTCCAAAAGGCCATCAACCATCTCACCATCGTCTCACCATCGTCTCACCATCATCTCACCATCATCTCACCATCTCACCATCGTCTCACCACCATCTCACCACCATCTCACCACCATCTCACCATCGTCTCATCATCTCACCATCATCTCACCATCATCTCACCATCATCTCACCATCATCTCATCATCATCTCACCATCATCTCATCATCTCACCATTATCTCACCATCTCACCATCATCTCATCATCTCACTATCATCTCACCATCGTCTCACCATCATCTCACCATCTCACCATCATCTCATCATCTCACCACTATCTCACCACTATCTCACCATCATCTCACCATCATCTCATCATCATCTCATCATCTCACCATCTCACCATCATCTCAACATCACCTCACCATCTCACCATCATCTCACCATCGTCTCACCATCATCTCATCATCTCACCACCATCTCACCATCATCTCACCATCATCTCACCATCATCTCATCATCTCATCATCATCTCACCATCATCTCATCATTTCACCATCACCTCACCATCTCACCATCATCTCACCATCGTATCACCATCACCTCACCATCTCACCATCATCTCACCACCATCTCACCATCATCTCACCATCACCTCACCATCTCACCACCATCTCACCATCATCTCACCATCATCTCACCATCATCTCACCATCTCACCATCGTCTCACCATGGTCTCACCATCATCTCACCATTATCTCACCATCATCTCACCATCATCTCACCATCATCTCACCATCATCTCATCATTTCACCATCACCTCACCATCTCACCATCATCTCACCACCATCTCACCATCATATCACCATCTCACCCACCTCAAGCCTGGCTGCCCATTGCCCCTGCTCCTCCCTAGCTTTCTTCCTGGTGAACTCATCAGCATTCACTCATACTGGGGACAAACCTGACTTGCTGCCTATTGTTATAAACAGGATACACAGTCATGTCCATAGTTTATGCTTGTCCATGGCTGCCAACACACTTCCAGACTTCTACTCACCTCACCTCCACACCCACTAGCACCCACACTTCCTCCGGCTACTGCAGGCAATCTGCTTGCTACCTGGGCTCTACACCTGTGCAGCTCACGTACATATAGTCCACCACTCCTGCCCATTGCCTTCCCCTTCCTCCCTTTCTACCCACCTTTCCCCATTATCCCTATCAGCTCCGCAAACCAGCTAAAATTCTCTCATCTGAAAACAGAAAAATGAAAACAAACCTGTGGCCTAGGCGCCTATAAACACCCTCACTTCTCCAGCCCCTGGGTGATGGTGTACCCTCCCAGGAGACACCCGAGAGGACTGTCCCTCCTGCTGCCTGGAGTCCGCTCCAGCTGTGCTTCTGTCTTCCCCCAAGGTCACCGATGGTGTCCACAGCTCCGAGTCAAGTTCACTGACGGCACCAGCTCAATCACCTGCCCTAATCAGTAGCCACGTGTAGCAATCTGTGCCCTTCATGAGCCTTTCTCCACTGGCTCTGCACCACACTCCCGTGGCTCCCTGCTGTCCCTTGGCCTTGCTTTCCCTGTCTCTTTTGCTGATTCCTCTTCTCCACTAATGGTCTTGGGACCTAGGGGCCCCAATGCTAGACTCCAGATTGGCCTGTCACTCAGCCCAATGCTGCATCTATCTGTACAAACGCAAACTCCGTTTCCCCAGAGGACTGCTCTCCTGTGCCCCTTTCTTCCCAGGAAACAGAGATGCAGGGTTCCATTGTCCACTCAGCCCTGCTGTTGTTCCTCTATATCTCACAAACACACCGAGAGGTAATTCTTTCCAATCCCTCTGGAACCTGTGATGTCTCAATTTTGATCGGGGCTTTCCAGCAAGAGAACATCCATGCAGTATTGGGCCAGCCTGCCTGGCACCCAAGTGCACCCATTTCCTGTCAAATGCATTATTCTCTGGATGTTGTCACAGAGTACATCTCTTTACAGCAAGACGTCATGCTGTGTTTTCAAGTAGGATGGAATCACTTCAGAAGAGAAAATGAGACGTAGTTCCCACTCGGCCTGGGCTACTGAGCAATGGAAACGGGCAGGAGGATGAGAAGGAGACCGACAGCACCAATCATGCAACAGGTAACAACAGCAAGAGCAAGAGCCAGTCATGTACCCCTCCCTATTAGACACATGGACCCCACAAAGATAAAGTGTTAACCCTGCAACCTAGAGGAATGGCTTACTATGTAAATAAACATTTCCTAATTTTTAAAATGTATTTTTATTTCATGCCTATTAGTGTTTTGCCTGCATGTATGTCTGTGTGGAGCTGTCAGATCCTCTGGAACTGGAGTTACTGACACCCATGTGTGTGCCGGGAATTGAACCGCTGAGCCATAAGCTCCTGCCAGGAAAATTAAGAGCTAACGTTGAGTGCTGGAGATGGCTGGGAAGTAAGAGCAGTACAGAGTACTAGAGTTTGGTTCCCAGAACCCACTCTTGGCTGTTCCCAACTGCCTTCTTCTGGGTTCCACGTGGATTGCATTCATGTGCACAAACCCACTCTCTCTCTCTCTCTCTCTCTCTCTCTCTCTCTCTCTCTCTCTCACACACACACACACACACACACACGTACACACAGAGAGAGAGAGAGAAAGAGAGAGAACTTGTTTGTTTGCTGTCTCCAGTTAAGATCATCCTGGACTACGTGGACACTAAATACACTGACAAGACAAGGTGTCCGTAAGACAGAAGAGGAGGCCTGCAGAGAGGGCTCCGCCATTAACAGCACTGACTGCTTTTTCAGACAACCTGTTTGATTTCCAGCAGCCACATCAGATGACTTAGAACTGCTTCTCTCTCTCTCTCTCTCTCTCTCTCTCACTCACACACTCACACACGCACACACACAAATAAAAATAAATCTGTTCTTTTTGTTTTTTTCAAGACAGGTTTTCTCTGTGTAGCCCTGGCTGCACCAGAACTCACCCTGTAGACCAGGAACTCCGAGATCCGCCTGCCTCTGCCTCTGTGCTGGGATTAAAGGTGTGAGCCACCACTGTCCAGCTCATAAATCCTTTTTTTTTTTTTTTTTTTTTTTTTTTTTTTGGTTTTTTGTTTTTTGTTTTTTTTTTTTTTTTTTTTTTTTAGCCAAAAGAGGACCAAGGAAGGACTGAGGCAAGGCAAAGACAGAAGCTGAAGCTGGAGAGGGATGCTACCAGGAGCACCCGGGTCACCAGACATTGGGAGTGGCAGGAAGGACCCTCCCCTAGAGGCTGCTGAGGACACACCCAACTTTGGAGCCTGGGCCTCCAGAACTGAGAGGGGGTGAAATCTGCCTGAGAGCTGAGCAAGGCCAGGTGGCACCAGCTCTCACTTCAGCCGAGGACTGCTCTGCTTTCCAATCTGCCAGTTCTACTCTCAGAAGGCCTGGAGAGGGTCTTCCAGGGCATGTAGGGCATACTCTCAGTGACGGCCACTCCCTCACCCACACTGTCCCCCTCCGGGTTTCTGCACCTTGATCTCCTGCTCCACTGCCCAGGCCGACTCACCCCGGACGCTCCTCAGCCAGTCCACATTGCATGCCTCCAGTTGCTCTGGATCTGTGACAACTCTGCCAGGTATGATGCATTCAAAGGCAGCCACGTCCTCCTCGGACACAGTAGAAAATGGCAGGCGTTGCACAGGGTATCGCTCAGGGGTCAGCATCACCTCAGGGCTACCAGAGGCAGAGGAGTACTCTCTGCAAGCCAAGGGGCTGCACCTATGGTGAGGGCAACCCAGCCACTTCAACCTCAATGAGGCTCCCTGAGTGTAGGTCCTCCTCCACCGTGGAGATGCCCAGAAGAGCCTTGCAGAACATCTAGACACCAAATGGAGCATAACTGCTCCTGTCCTTAAATAAATAAGTAAATATAGATTGAACTTGCAACTCATGAGCAATGAAGTCATGGGAGAGCCCCACAATGGCCTCTGTACCACATCTAAAATCACAGACCCATTGCCTACAGCGGTTCTCAAGCTGCAGGTCATGACCCCTTTCCGGTCACATATCAGATATCCTGCACATCAGTACTTACATTGCAATTCACAGCGTAGCAAAATTAGAGTTACAAAGTAACAATGAAATAATTCTGTGGTTGGGGGTCACCACAACAAGAGGAACTGTATTAAAGGTCCACAGCATTAGGAAGGTTGAGAACCACTAGCCTAGATGGACAGGAGGGCTTGGCACTAGAAAGCCAGGAAAGCCAGGTGGTGGTGGCACATGCCTTTAATCCCAGCACTCAGGAGGCAGAGGCAGGAGGACCTCTGTGAGTTCGAGGCCAGCCTGGTCTACAGAGAGAGTTCCAGGACAGGCTCCAAAGCTACACAGAGAAACCCTGTGTCAAAAATAGAATAAAGAAATAATAATAAAGAAATAAAATAGAAAGAAGACAAGGAAAGCGGTATCAGGCTGCAGTACACAGAGGGTGAGGTACTTAGAAGGGTTCGGGTCTGTTTCACCCGGTATAACAGTCCTGTGAATTCACTGAGTATATACACTTGTTAGTGGTGCATTCTCTACTGGGTGTTGTATTTTAACTTTTGCAAACAGCAACCGTTTTTTCCAGACTGGGTTTTAAGGCACAAAAAGGGAAGGTATCACGGAATTATGCGCCCAAACAGAGATGAAAGACAAATTTTTCAATTTTACGTATACTTTGCCACAAGTTTTAAAAAGCCTGGGTAACAAGCAAAAATGTCTTGGAGGGAAGGGAAGTGACCTGTGACGGTGCACACTGGCCCAGGAGGGAAGGGTAGCTCACACAGGTAGCTATCAACAAAAAAAAAAAAAAAAAAAAAAAAAAAACAAACAAAAAACGCCACCTTCCAATTGAAGGCCCCACTTGGCCGCTGCTTCCGCCTTACCTGAGACGGAAAAACACACCATGGCATGCGCATGTGCCATGTGCTGAGACGTCAGGGAGGACGAGCTATTTGCATTCCTAGCCAAGGCGGCCTGGGAATGCTGGGGGTGGGAACGCTGCGCACAGGCTGGCACCGCCGGCCGCGGGCAGACCCGGCTCGCTCCCGCTCCCGATCTGTGAAACCACTTGACACCAGGCCACAGCCCCGGCTGCACAGACCCAGACACCAACTCCCACCACCCAGGAACTGCAGCCGGCCCACTACGCACCCTAGCGTCCGTCCGAGTGCAAAACACTGTGCGCGCACCCGCACCCAGGTTCCCACCCCTGCACCGCCGTAGGCCTCGACCAGAGGGGGCGGGGCGAGAGACTGCGCATGTGTATCGCCCCTCCCCGACCCCGCCCTTCCGCTCTGACCCCGCCTTCTCAGCCCTTAGGCGGTGAGCTCCTACTGACTCAACATGAGGACCCCTGATCCCAAAGTGGAGACTGTTCTACTTTAACCAGAATCCGACTCCACGCAGAGGATGTCCCATCACTCCCTATTCCGAGCGCTTTTCCCAACTTTCCCCTTCGTGGTCCATCCGACTAGCCGCAAAAGCTAAGTGCCCACTCCTTCATCGCTCTGTGGCTCCTTGCCCAGGAGCCACTGTCACCTTTAGGAGCTCCTCTCTTCCCCAGGGACCTCGATCGCCCCTATGGATCTCTAACCTCTTCCTCCCTCTCCCCCGGGCTTCCATCTCACCAGAGGTCACTGATCCATTCGGAAAGCCCAGCCCTCAAAGTAAAGGCCCAGGGCTGGGACTTATCTGTGGGTGCCACAGAGGCCAGTCCAGCTCTACAGAACATTCCCGACCTCCTAGGCCCGACAGTAGCAGGTATCTGAAACAGGGCTCATCTCCGGGTTTCCTGGGACAGTCCCAGGAGCTGTCACTTCTCCCAGCATACCCACTTCCATTTGTCATCACGGCGGGACAAGCCCCGAAAGTACGTTCTGTAAGATGTTAAGATAATTTAGAGTTCTGTACCAGATACTTTAGGTCTCTGTCCCTCCTGCGGCTGAGGCAAGACTAGAAGGATAGTGTTAATTTTGCCAAGTAAAAGCCAAGGCATCCAGGCAGTCCTTGCAAACTGGATAAAAGAATGCAGCGTTTAGGGGTCATAGCTGCATGCTGTGTGCTGGGAGAGGGTGCATGCAACTGCAGCTGTGCCTTTGGTAGGACACTCCCCCAGGTCTGTCCATCCTTCCAGGGTTATCGGACTGGGACATGGTCAGTGCATCACCTTGGCATTGCCCAGGTCCAAGTCACAGCTGCATTTTGATCCCTATACTGGTTAGAAGGACATTCCAGAAGCTTCTACTAGGCCCTGCCTAGACTCCATAGGCCACTAAGGGTAATTGGCAGTCATCAAAAATGTCAGTGTAGCCAGGCAGTGTTGGCGCACGCCTTTAACCCCAGCACTCAGGAGGCACAGGCAAGCGGTTCTCTGTGAGTTTGAGGCCAGCCTGGTCTACTTAGTGAGTTCCAGGACAGCCTCCAAAGCTACACAGAGAGACCCTGTCTCCAAAAAAGAAACAAAAAAGAATGCCAGTGTACTAGATAGTTCTATGTCAACTTGACACAAGCTAGGGTTATCTGAAAGGAAGGAACCTCAGTTAAGAAAACACCCCCATAAGATTTTTTTATGTGTTTTGTTTTGTTTTTAAGATTGATTATGTATACAGTGTTCCGCCTGCATGTATGCCTGCAGGCCAGAAGAGGGCACCAGATCCCATTACAGATGGCTGTGAGAAACCATGTGGTTGCTGGAAATTGAACTCAGGACCTCTGGAAGAGCAAGCCAGTGCTCTTAACCTCTGAGCCATCTCTCTCCAGCCCCAGACATTTTCTTCAGTAGTGATAGATGGGGGAGAACCCAGTCCACTGTGGGAGGTACCATCCCTGTCCTGGTGGTTCTGGGTTCTATAAAAAAGCAGGCTGATGACAGGCATGGTGGCACACACATTTAATCCCAGCACTCGGGAGGCAGAGGCAGGTGGATCTCTGTGAATTCAAGGCCAGCCTGGTCTACAAAGTAAGTGAGTTACAGGACAGAGAAACCCTGTCTCAAAAAACCAGAGAGAGAAAGAGAGAGAGAGAGAGAGAGAGAGAGGGAGGGAGGGGTGGGGCTAAGCAAGACAGTAAGCAGACCTGTCTGTGGCCTCTGCATCAGCATCAGCTCCTGCCTCCAGCTTCCTGCCCTATCTGAGTTCTGCCCTCACTGCTCTTGATGATGAGCTGTTTATGGAACTGTGAGTGAAATGAACCCTTTCCTCTCCACATTGCTTTTGGTCCTGATGTTTCATCACAGCAATAGTAACCCTAACTAATACAGTCAGTTACAGATTCAGGAATAGAAAGATGCCCAGAGGGTGTTGGGTTCACCACAGCCCTCACTAACTGGTAGGCCAATGGCATCTTGAACCCTTGGAATCAGTAACAATTCAGAGCCACTCAACATCAGCAGTCACGAGGCTGGAGAGATGGCTCAGTGGTTACGGACACAGTCTGTTCTCCCAGAGGACTGTGGTTCAATTCCTTGCACACACATGGCAACTCCACCACTCCAGTCTCAGGGTATCCGATGACTTCTGGCTATTCTGGGTACCAGGCACACACATGGTGCATAGACATACATGTAGACATCATACCCATACATGTAAAATAAAAATAAATCTTAAAAAAAAAAAAAAGTCAGGTGGTGGTGGTGGTGGTGGTGCACACCTTTAATCCCAGCAAGCAGATCTCTGAGTTCAAGGACAGCCTGGATACTACATAGTGAATTCCAGAACAGCCAGAACTTCTCAGGGAAACTCGTCTCAAAAAATAATAAACAAAAAGATCAGAAGGCAGCTGCCCACAACCCAAGGGAGAAGCCCTCAGCAGGTATCAACTTTGATTTCAAGTCTCCAGAACTGTGGGAAATATACATCGTGTTAAGGGTGTGTGTGTGTGTGTGTGTGTGTGTGTGTGTGTGTGTGTGTGTGTGTGTGTAAACTGCCCAACAGACCATGACAGTTCACAAAGGGATGCTGACAACATCAAGAATCCCCCTGGTCTAGGTTCCCATTCCAGGGGAGGCACAGCACATTAGGCAAGTGTTTTACCACAGAGACATATTCCTGCCCCTCAGTAATACTGTGTACAGCAGCCCCTAGCACACATGCATGCACGCATGTCCCATGGGAGCCTGGAAACCGGGCACGGACCACTGACATCCCCGAGTACCCAACCAAAGCCAAGTGCGGGGTCCTAGGTCCATAAAGTCCCCCAGTGGCATCCTGGACTCTTGAGTATACACATGAATGAGACACACCTGCCTCTGACACAGCGTAGGGATGCTACACACATGAATGTTTACAAAATGACCTACTTTCAAATGTTTCTTCCCAAAAATACTTTATTTATTAAACAATATATCCATAATCCATGATCCAAAAATACAGATATACATCTTTACATTATTTAATAAAAAGATTTACAATAGTATCTCTCCTTTACAAAGGGGACATAGGTAATAATTCCTTGAAAATAAAATGTGACATTCATGTTAAAGCTGCATCACCCTGACGGATGGAGTGTGGCGGAGAATGAACACCACAGCACATTCTGAGGGAAGAGACACTTCTTAGACCTCCCTGCTTCAAAGCCCCTCTCGGTATCTATCGGCAGTGAAGACCAGTCTGTTCACAGAAAATGAGGTCAAAGCCTGAAATAAATGCCCCTCACTGTCCGGTTTAAACCCTGAAGACCTAATAACTTCATAATAGGGCCAACCCCGGCACTGTATCGCATGAAGGAGTTGATATCTGGACAGTGTTATTGCTTGAAGCATCCCTGCCAAGGCCTTTAGGGACAGGTAGGGGAGAGAAGGCAAGAAGCTGTACCCACAGGAGCAAGCAAGCGGCCACCTCCCCAGCCATCCACAAGTCCTTTCACCACATGGCTCGTCACTGCAGCGTGGAAGGACACAGCCAGTGGCTTGGCTCCTACTGACCTCACCTTCTGGACAGGTGGATGGGTGGTCAGCGCTGCTTGGACCATCACACCTCTAGTATGTTCACAGATCTTGGGGCTCAGTTTTTTTTTTTTTTTTTATTAATTCATCATGCTTCTTCTGTAAGAAACTGGAGAAATTCAAACTACTGATAATATGCACAGGAAATAAGGAAGAATCCTCTCCTCTTAGCAAAACACTCATGTACTTATAAGGAAAGGTAACAACAAAGCGAGGACCCAGCCTTGGCTGCCATTTGTGACCTGTGGGGTCACCCTACCCACTCTGTGTAAGAAGCGGGGATAGCTCAAGAGCCAGCTCTCAATGGGCAGGCATGAAAAATATCTGGTCCAATGATGGAGACAGCTAGGGCTTCTGGAATGGTACCCAACGGCACAGCACCATGGCTTGTATTTCTACAGCACCCGAACCTTAGCTGCCAGTACACTTTTCCTTAACAGCCTCCTTCCTTGCTCAGAGACAGGAACAATAGGACAGGCACTCCATCAGAGTACCATCGATGACCCAACAGATTTTCCTTCCTGCTTCTCTTAAACCTAGACCATCACTTTTGAAAGGCAGCTTTGCTCGCCACCATTCAACCACAGCACACCGGGCTTCACAGAGTTAAATCCCCAAACCCACAAGTTCCGTTGTTTCCAAGCTACATGCATCTTATTTGGGGAACATTATTATAATTGTCAGAAGGGGGAAAAAAGGAGATAGTTATAGAAATTTGCAAAATAAATAAAAGTCAAAAGTCACTATGCAGGATGGCCCCAGGTGGAAATCAGAGAGGCCAGCATGCATCAGGAACCCAGAAAATGGAGTTTAACCAGCCTCTAGCACCTCCCCTAGGAAACACTCCTGTTTCAGCTGGGTCTTAGGTATTAATCAGCTTCTAAGGCATTACCAGGCAAGATCTGATTTAAAACTTCTTGTGCTTACAGGAATTATAAGAGGTCCAGATATTACAGGCGGCACATACCTGTAATTCCAATATTTCATGGCTCGGGCAGGGTGACTGCTAGTTCAAAGCTAGTCTAGGCTACATAATTAGGCCCTGCCTCCAAATAAATAAATAAATTAAATTAAATTAAAGGATGCATGAGGCCTGACCCCTAGGACTGAAGAAAGAAAGGGAGGCAGAGACGGGCTGATTTCTGTGAGTTTAAGGAAAAACCCTGTCTCAAAAAAGCAAACAAATAAAAAAAAGTTCTGGGTTTGGTCCCTAACATTGCAAAGCCAGACCTGTTGGTGAACACCTGTAACCTTAGCATTTGGAAGATATAGGAATAAAGATCGAAAGGTCAAAGTTACCTTTAGCTACATTGTGAGCCCAAAGCAAGCCTGGTCTTTAAAATAAAGACACATAAGAAGACCTGGTCTTTAAAATAAAAAGGGGGGAAGAACAGAAAACAAAACAAAAAACAAAACAAAAAAAACTTCCTTAACTTATCCTCACAAGCTTTAGAACAACAAAAGGCTAAGTTAAGAAATGAAATGTCTAGCTGGCAGTGGTGGTGCACGCCTTTAATCCCAGCTCTCAGGAGGCAGAGGCAGGCAAATCTGAGTTCAAGGCCAGCCTGGTCTACAGAACTAGTTCCAGGAGAGAAAACCTGTCTCCAAAAATCAAAAACCAACCAAATTAAAAAAAAAAAAAAAAAAAAAAAAAAGAAAATGTCTATCGAATCTGAGCCTGATAAAGGGTCCCCAAGAAGAAAGCCAGCCTCTCAAGCCCAGAGGCCACAAGAACCACATTTCCAAAGCTCCTCCTAGTCTGGAGACATGCTTGGACTGTTGCTTAGCAGCTGCTCCCATCCGTCTGGCACCTGCTGTCCGGGAGGGGTCAACATGCACCAACTTACTCGGTAGCACAAACACATCCACTCCCGTCTCCCTCTCTCGCTGGGACAGGCTGTGGAGGAGGAACATGACCGTGATGGCATGACGAAGGGCAGATAGAACTCCCTCTTGTTCTGTTTCCTTTCCATGGATAAAGTGGGAGGGAAATCTAACTACTTAGACATGACCATCTTAAAACAATGTGTCTGTCGTCAGATAAAAAACTGGCCTCTCCTGAAACTGGAAATTGTATAACCTACCTGTTTTGTGGGTCTTCTTCTGGAGTAAGGCCAGGGACAGGCATTCTTAGTTCTCAGAGAGCCTGAGACACTGGGAAATATGCCAGAGGCATTTGAAGTCAAAAGAAACCCTCAGGACCTTGTCACACTTAAGGAGCCACCAGAGATATACCTCAACATGCCCTGTATATACGTCCCCGCCCCCCAAATATTTCCAAAAGACGGTTCAACACTGGTTTCGTGGACACTGGTTAAACAAAGCGTACACTCTAGTTTCCTACCTTCATTCTAGAACTGCTATTGGGCACACAAATTCACAAATCATGTCACGTAACTGTAGTCCCCCTGAACGCAGGCTCGTGGGATGCAACACAGCAGAGTTCTAAAATCAGCTCACAGCAGACAGACTCACTTCAGAGATACACAGACCTTCATGCTATTACAATAATTTCATCTTCACAGTAAAAAAAAAAAAAAAAAAAAAAAAAAAAAAAGTCAGGAATTCCCAGAGAGGAGGAGACTCAGCCTGGCTGTCTGCTGTTGGGCAGTGCTGGTCATGAACACTGACAGTCCAAGGCTAATGGCTGAATCTCAGGGGAGGGCTGGAAGTTCACACTGAAAAGGCGGGGCACAATCAAACAGAGGCGCTTCCGCCTGGGAAGAGCCGCCAGTCCTTTCCAGACACATCAGAGGTATGTTGGCCAGCCAGGAGTCCCCGGGCTTCAGTCGGGGTCACAGAATGGCGTGGGACAGCGCCTGCTAACACTTTGCTCACAGAGCAACAGCTGTGCTTCCATGGTGATACAAGACAGTCCTGGGAACATGGACACTCAAGGCTGACCCTCTAGTCACCAAACATGGCAGTACACCAGGTTAAAATGTGTCCAGTCCAAAGTGACACTCGCCACAGGCCGTGCTGCCATTCCCGGTGCTGGGAGGTTGCAGGAGCGGGGAGCCTGCGTGTAAAGTCACCGTGGCAAGTAAGTCCCTGTGAGATTGTTCTGTGCAAACGGTGCAGTGGCTTCTTATTTTGGGAAATATCCCAAATGACAAGTGGCCACTGAATGATTAAATATCAGTTGAAATAAGGTAGTTTTAAAATGAAAGCTAATATTGCAACGCGAGTGAGGAAATAATGAGCTCGCTCTTCCGTCCGGCACATCAGCCTGTGCCTCACTTCTTCTTCCTCTTCTCCTGAACACACCGTGGACAGAACCTGTGACGAGAAAGACACGGCGTCAACCTTCCGCATCGCTTCTCCTGGCGCCCAGGACACCCAAGTACAGACTTCCTGCAACCCCCGGGGTAGCCAGACGACAGGGACAGCAAGTGAGAGGTGTCATCTTTCTGAGGAGAGCTGGCGGACTGGACATGCTGCGGACCGTGTGTGCAGACATGGTCTGGTAAGACACCAGCTCCTGAGACAGCCGCACTGGGCCCTGGAGCCCGTACGGGCCCCACAGGTCCAGTGCTGCGGGCCAGGCACACATCAGAGCCTCAGACAGTGTTCATGGACACTCAAGAACATGGCAGCCACTCGTGATCCAAAGGGTCTACCAACATCCCAAGTGGGAGACAGCTCTTTGACACACGCTGCAGCTGGCATCACTTCCTACCCGTGCTACAGTGACCGTGTCAGTTAGACCCTGTGTGTCCCTCTGAGGAAGCCCATGCTGGAAACCTACAGTAAGACACTGGAGCCCACCCCCAAGTTCTTCTGTCTGGCTTTGGGCCTAGCTCCAAGGTCGATGTAATACCCCAACAGTTTTGCCAGTGCTGTCCAACTCCCTACCTGGAGATCCTGCGAACGACGACACATGTCCAACTTGAACTCAAAGGTAGAAACCACTGCCTCACATAAGCCTGCTTTTTTTCCCTTTCCTTAACCAAGTAACCACCATCCATCAGCAGCCCAGCCATAAACCTGCTCACACACCCACTGCCAGAGCAGCCCAGCACACTCCCACAAGACATATGCGCAGCCAAGGCACCTGCCATATGGTTTGTTTGTTTATTTATTTATTTATTTATTTATTTATTAGCTTTTCAAGGCAGGGTTTCTCTGTGTAGCTTTACAGCCTGTCCTGAGAGTCACTCTGTAGACCAAGCTGGCCTCAAACTAGAGATCCGACTGCCTCTGCCTCCCGAGTCCTGGGATTAAAGGCGTGCGCACCACCACCCAGTAATATGAGGCAAGGAGCCATGCGCGGTAGGCATGCCCACTGAAGTGGGTGACATTCACACCACACACGTTACCAGTGCACTGACCAAAGCCCTTGCAACCCAGCATCCATCCCTCCTTTCCCAGGTGACTCTCAAACTAGGCACAGGCTGATCTACACACCGAGAACGTTACCATGAGATGCCCCAAGTGCTCCTGGAGGAAGGCCCAGTTCCTTCTAGTTCATTTTAAGAACATGCATCCATTCTTAACACACAAGTCAACGAAACGAGGTTTTTATTCAAATAAAACCTTGGGAACATCTTGAACAGTAAGTAGCCTCCTGCTGACTGGATGCAGGATGGACAAAGAATGCACAAGCCTCCTATGCTCTGGTAGATGGAGACCCCTGGAGGGAAAACAATTCTACAGCTACTTCTCCTGTTCTTCGTAATTCCCATCTTTCCCTGGAGACGAGCAACTGCTCTCCTAGTTTTTGCTTAAAATAACCTCCGCCCAACATGAGCCAGAGGGCGAAGGGGACAGAGTTCAGCGGTAAGTACTGGCATACTGGATGCACACCGGAGTGCATGGAGCCCTTCTTCAAGGGGCAATAGTGTAAATACTATACACACCCAGGCAAGCTGCGCAGTACATCTCTCTGTGTGTAAGTATGCCACCACCACCTCCAGCCCTCCCCAGCCAGGACCAACGATGCAGAAGTATGGAGACATACAAGTCCCAGAGCACCAGACAGGCTTGCCCAAGGCTGCAGTCACCCACATACTAACCACTTTCCTTTGGGCTTTGTGGTGAGATCCACGCAGGCAAAGTGAAACCACTCAATCGGACACTGCAAAGCAAGCGGAAAGCCTGGGTCACACCCGTGCACTCTGTACGTTAGGCACAGAAAGCCCGACAGCCACCCATCTCTACAAGGTTCGTCCCGTCAGCCTTTGAGGTCCACTCACATCTGGATTGTCACAGCCAATCATCTCCCCATAGGACACCTGGTGGCACAGACAGTATGTGGGCTCGTTCGGATCCACAGGCATGTCCAGCACATCAGAGGGGTGCACAGAAAGGATGCTGTCAGTAAACTCAGACCTGCAGGGAGAGAGAGGGTCTGCTGACCACAGGGTGACAGGGGAAAGGCAGTGTATGCACACGGCCACACTGCAGCCCTTCCACCAATGGCCCAGGGCGCCTCCACCCTGGAACAAAGATGCGTGCAGGTTCCTGTAAGGAAACAATCTATGACGACTCTGGGCTAATGATCATACATAAACTTGCTTCCGATTTTCTTTCTTTCTTGAGGGGTGGGAGAGAGGCAATTTGAGATAGGGTTTCTCTGTGGTTTTGGAGGCTGTCCTGGAACTAGCTCTTGTAGACCAGGCTGGTCTTGAACTCACAGATCCACCTGCCTCTGCCTCCCGAGTGCTGGGACTAAAGGCATGTGCCACCACAGCCCAGCAACTTCCAATTTTTTTGTTACTGGCACCTGGGAACAGTCTTAACACCTGTTACTGGGGTCCATTCACAAGGATAATCTCAAAAACCTTCCAGCCAAGTCTCTCCTGAGAATCTATAGTAAGGACAGTATGGTGTGCTTGTTCATAATCAGTTAAGAGTCCCTTGGACTAGAACCAGTCACAAACCTAGCAGCAGCAAACAGCAATCACACTACCATCATACCAGCAGAGGCCCTGGAGGCAGGCAGCGGGGGTTTGGGATTGCTAATAGCATTCACCAGCATCTAAATCCAACACCAGCCATTGCTGTCTACTGGGGACAAAGACCCCTCCAACCTCCCTTACTTTGGACCTCCCTTCTGTTGGCTGCCACCTCCTGGTAGGGACAAGAACATGGACCCTGCCGGCAGGCAGCTAAAATCTAAGAAGAGTAATCTGTGTCTCACCCAAGGCTGACCTAAGGGTGGAGGCATCCACCAGCCCTGCTATGCAATGGACAGCCCTCTTCCTCGACAAGGGACAGTGTATCCTCTGCATCTACCCAGGTCCCCTCACTCCAAACCACACATTGGCAGACTCTTACCCTCCATTGGGTTCCAAGTATCTACCCATTAACCTCACCCAGTTGCCCACCAGGCTAACAAGAGCCAGCTTGGTACACACTACCCTGCTCACTCCCCAGTGCCTGAAGCTGCCTCTGGTCTCTGAACAGCAGCCTAGCGAGAATCCTTCCCCTTCCCCTTCTAACTGCTGCCTGCACAGCCCAGCCCCACCCTTCACTGTAGAGCGGGACACTTGACTTACTCTTCACATGCCTTTCAAATGACAGTGCAAACTATAGGGCGGTCTGGACAGTATAATCCCTATACCTATAGCACCACTATTCCTACTCACACTGAACTGGGCATGCATAGTGATGAATAAATATGGCCAGTTTCCATGAGGGCTATGGCAAACGCAAGGCACGACCCAGCTGCAGACAGGAAGCAAGACACAGGAGCCGGGGCTCCTAGCCTCTGAATCCCTAAGTGGTCCCCAGGTCATTACAGTGCGTCTACATTCTAGTCCAACACCTAGAAGGCTCTGGAACCTGGGCCTCTCCTTAGCAGGTAACCCATGCTTTCACAGAAACGTCATAAAAACACATCTGAGTCCAAGTGCTCTACAATAAGGCTTTCAAGTGACCCCCAGGAGGTCCCTCAAGTGGGAAACTTTCTTAAAGACCCGACACTCTGCCTTGCCTCCTGGCCTCAGTGGTCTTGGTGTGGCCTACTGTCAATCGGCACCATGCAGCCCTCTGTGGCAGCAAGCCAAGCCCAGAAGTGTGCCCGCCTCTGCTGCTCCAGCTACATGGAACTTTCCCACAGGAAGATCCACCGTCCAGCTATCACAGGAAGGGAAGCCACAGCCATTCAGCCGTCACGTGACCTGCAGCTTAGACTCTCCAGGTCCAGTCAGTCAGGTGTAGGGATACCCATCTTTAATGCAGCACTTGGAAAGCTGAGGCAGGAGGAGCCTGAGTTCGAAACTACAAAGGAAGTTCAAGGCTAGCCTGTACATACTAGAACCCTGTCTCAGAAGTAGAACCAGAGGAGAGTGCAGAAGAGGTTGAGAAGACTACCTAGTAAGTAGTAGCCCACAGGCAGTCCCTCTCCCTTGGACACGTTGACTGGCCCAGGCCCCTAGCCAGGTAAGCTCCCTTCCCCAGATGTGGCCAGGAAACTCACTCCAGACATGACCACCCATGGGCTTCCCTAACAATCCAGGTAACCCAGGAGGGACCCAGCTGCTTGTCCAAGCTTTAGAAGAAGGGATGGAAGAAGAAACTGACCCCTTTGTTTCCACAGCCAGGAAAGCAGGCCCTGGGGCAGCCAACGAACTAAACACTGACCTTAGCTTATAGGACCTTACATGGGAATCAGATGGGTCTGGCAGTTCTAGGAAGGTAACTCTGCCTGATACCCATCCTCTGGCCAAGAGGCCACTGAGCCACGAGAACCTGACTGTGCACTGCTCCAAGTCCCCCATGGAAAATGACGGCCACCGCCAAACTACAACTGAAATATTTAGTCCTGCTCATCTAGGTCATGAAAAAAACCCACCAGACACAGGCTAGGGACAAAGACTGCACCAAGCTCCCCCCATACAGCACGTCCAGGACTTCAGTGCTTGGGCTATCTCCGGATGCCTACTCCATGGAAGGTGCTCTGGCATCAGATGTCGAGGCCTGAGCCACTTGTTCCAGCAGTCTCCCCAGGCAGAACATATGCAAATTGGGATAGCGGCCCGGACAGGAAATGGGCCAAGGCAAAGTCGATAGAGAGCAGGTATCCTATCACTGCCCCAGCCAACCACCCCTACAGGGAGCCCAGCAAACAGGGCCGCAAGCAGTGACTGTCTCCTAAGCCTTCAACATAACTGAACAGCCTGCCTCACCTGGGGGTGCTGAGGTTTGAGGAGCGGTTACCATGCCTGCCTCACACCTGAGGCCTAGGCGGGATGCTCCGGCCAGCGGGTACTGGCTTCTCCACAACCCAGACAGCCCTACACTGGGCTCCTCATGCTGAAGACACTCAGTGAAGAAGGCAGCAGCAGGAATGAATGTCTGTGCAATCCCAGAAGCACGGCCTCTGGGGAAGAAAGGAGCGGCCATCGAGCTGCCACCCACGCGTCACAAAGTTCGAACCACCTTACAGGCAGCAGGAGTCTGGAACAATGGAGCTGGGCGATCTGCAGCAGGAGAGGGGATGCTCAGCCCCTAGACTGGGCAGAAAGGCTGGCCCAGCTATCAACGCAACACTTTAGGATCTACGTGTGGTAGCCGTGTACACCCAGGATACTGAGTATGAGAGTTAAATGAGCTATATAGATGTCAACAAAGACAGAGTGACAATCCCGAGCTCTAGAGCCTTCGAGACCAGGAGACCAGGGCTTGTTCTCACAGCCAGTCTGTCCTCAAGCCAGAAGCAGTGTGGGCAGTACGAAGCTGACTTATAGAACAGATACACAGCCTTCCGAGATGTTAAAGCTGACAGGAAAGAACTCAAAGTAGCATCATAAGTAAATTAATACTCAGCACTCATTGCTTTATGGCCAAAGAATAAGACCTTAGATCTTATTAAAAAAAAAAAAAAAAAAAGGAGCCAAATCTGTATTTTTAAGAAGGGAATCGGGGCTGAAGAGATGGCTCTCAGAGGTTAAAAGCACTGGCTGCTCTTCCAGTGGTCCTGAGTTCAACTCCCAGAAACCACACGGTGGCTCACAGCCATCTGTAATGAGATCTGGTGCCCTCTTCTGCCCTGTACACATAATAAATAAATACATCTTAAAAAAGAAGGGAGTCAGACAAACAGGTGCTCTGGGACTGAAAGCTACCGTCTGTAGTATCCATACACACAAATTGCTAACCTATAGTCTAATCCTCTCCCAAGAGAGCAGGCAGCTGTGACCACAGCTGCACAGACAGCGTGGCCCACTGGTGGAGGTACTGGTTAGATCCACACTTGGTGGACTATTAAAGAAAAAGCTGAGGGCATTAAGGCAGGAGGAAGACTTACTGGAAAGAAGGAGTCCGGCAGGAGTGGAGTGGAGTGTGCGGGGCTAAGTTCGTATGATCAAAATACATTACATACAAGTATGAAACTGTCAAAGACTACTTTTTTTTTAAATTTAAAGTTAAAGATGTAGGGCCTGTACTCTAAGTACTTAAGACACTAAGGGCAAAAGATCATTAGTTCAAGGGCAGCCTGGGCCAACACACACACCACACACACAGCCACACTGTGCTTAACATATGCAAGGCGCGGGGTTCCACTCAATGCACTAAGAAGTTCAATAACCAGTCCCCCCCCCCCCCCCCCCGTTAAGGAGAACTAGCTCCCTGGCTTTCCCCAGGACCCACGGTCACTCCACTTCACCATTTCCCCTCTGGTCCAAACATCATCGCAGTGAACTAGCACAATGCCTCTGGCAAGAGACAGTGGGGGACGGTCGTGAAGAGTTTCAAGGTAAGTGACACGTGTGAATGTAGTCACCTAGTTTAACACCAACCATGTACAAAACACGCATCCATGTATAAGGCCACCATCAACAGTAAGCTCAGCTAGTTAAAGGACGGCTTCGACCCAGCACTGTCCCAGAGCGCAGCATTCTCCTGACACCCAGGGGGGCACACACACCAACTCGGAGGAGGAGGGGGCCGTCACTGCCTCAAACAGAACTGGCCTTCTGCACACAGACGTTCGGACTCCTGCAGCCCCCGTCGATTCTGACCACCAAGGATATGAAGATTGCCCAATGGCCATCGCGAGCCTTCTCCCTGCTGCTCGAAAGATGCTGTTCCGTTGGGAAGAGACGGTGGGAGCATCTTACCCGCTTTTATGCTTCTTTTTCTTTGGAGTGTCCTCTTCTGATGTTCTCCTGCCTCGGCCCCGGGAGCTTCTCTTTTCTTTCTGACTCCGGCCTTCTGAAGGACAAAGACCCCACTGTCATCACAGAACAGACCCAAGAGGAGCAAGATTCACCCAGACTCATTTGCCATCATCATTCAGATGAAAGCCTTCAAAACTGCAATCCCTAGCAAACAGAACATCAGCCAACTTGCTTTTCAAGCTTCGTGGTCCAGAGCTTTCAAAGTCACTTCCGTCCATTCTGTCTTTCAGGTCAGCCTCAAAGCGGGCCAGGTCAGCATCAAGCCTTCGGATGTGTTTATCCACCTGCAAAAGGACACTTGAAAATGAAGGCAGGGATGCAGCTCAGAGGCTCAGCACTCGCCGGGTATGCACAAGGCCCTGGATTAGGTCTCCCCAGCACCCCAAGAAAACGACAACAAACAAGCAATGGCTCTACCGACAAGCAAGACAACCGGCCCCAAAAAACAAGATCATGGGAGCAGGCCCAGGTGAAGACCCCCAATGTATCCATCCTCTCTCTTCGCTCCCAACTCCCAGCCTAGCTGGGAACACACTCCCTTTCCCTTCTGTGGCTGGCGGCGAAGGCAGGGCCCGAGCCCGTGCCCCGCCCTGCACTCACCATCTCGTAGGTCTGCATGGCCAGCTGCACCTTGTCATCACTGTACTCCCGGCACTTGCTGTAGGCGCTCTGGATCTTCTGCAGGTGCTCCACACGCTGGTCTGAAGACAGAGTCTTCACCGTGGAAATATACTCCGCAGCCAGGATGTCAATCTCTGCTTTCTTATCTAACGGGGACAGGTGAGGGGGCGCGTGAGAAGTGATGCACGAGGTGGAGCGACATGCATCCAGGACGCTGGCGGGAGCGTCACTGCATGTCAGTGTGCACTGTGTGGTGCAGCACCTTACCCAGGGCAGACCCAGCACAAGTTGTCCAGCAAGCAGTCAAGCTGCCCGCTGACTCTCCTGAACAGCACATTTTAGGGTTATCTGCCTAGCTCCAGGTGCACAACTTAGTCACATTACCAGAGGGGAAGCACTTAGGAAAACTCACACAGCAGCCAGAGGCAAAAGTCAATGCAAACATCCAACCCACAGTAAGACTAGTCAGGACACCCCGCCCGCAGCACAAGGTGACTCACAACCCTCTGGCTGACTCCAACTCAGCTGACAGTGAACAGAGCAAAACCTGTAAAAACGCCCGCATGCTCCCACTGAAGCAGCAGCAACGGCAGAGGAGAGGAGGGGACAACTCTGCTCTAACCCAGAAGTGGGGTTTCTTCAGATGAAGCCATTAACATGCAGTTCAGAGCAAGTTAACTTACACACAAAAATCAATAGCCTTATCATGTCAAATTGCCTTCCAGACACAAATTTTCTTCTGTTTAGACTCAAATTGCACCCACCGAAGATAGTTCATTACAGATGTGAACATTCCAAGACTGAAGAACATAAAAATCCAAAATACTTCTGCTCCAAAGCATTTTGGATAAGGAATACTCACTTATAAACAATGCAGAAATAGGGAAAAAGTTTAAAGGAGAAAAGCAACAAATATTCTGACTGAAAAGGACAACAGTTGAAAAGCTATGATAAGACTCTGTGTAGGAAGTCAGGAAATGGGCCAGGGAGATGGCTCAGTGGATACATGGCTGCTATAAATGCCTAAGGACCTGAGTCCAAATCCCCCAGACACCACTTAAAACACAAGTGTGGTAGCTCGTGCATCTGTAATCCCAACGCACTTACTGGGAGACAGGTGCCAGAGACTGGGAAATCCCAGCTAGCCTGATAATACGCATCAATGAACAAGAAAAGAGACCTTGTCTCAAACCAGGCAGAAGGTGAAGCCTGAACCCAAGGCTGTCCTGTCCTCTGACCCCTACCATGACCCCTCTGACTTGCCATGGCAAGTGCATATCCTCACACATGTGTACACACACATCCAACACACACAGAGATTAAAAAAAAAAAAACCATACACAAAATCTATAGCAGAGTTAAAAACACCAGCACAACCAGGCAGTGATGGCACACGTCTTTAATTCCAGCACTTGGGAGACAGAGGCAGGAGAATCTCTGGGAATTTGAGGCCAGCCTGGTCTACAGAGTGATTTATAGGACAGGCTCCAAAGCTAGAGAAACCCTGTCTTGAAAAATCAAAAAGAAAAAAACAAAAAAAAACAAAAAAAAAAACCACACCGCAACAACAACAACAACAAACAAACCAGCAGCAGCACTCTCCTCCCTACCCTATGCTCATGCACTCAGGAGGCTACGGGAAGGTACAGGGCCAGCCTAGGCCACAGAACAAGATCCTGTCTCAAAATAAATGCATGTACTTGAGATGGGCATCGTGGCACACATCTTATATGCCAGCATTCAGGAGGCAGATGCAGGTGGATCCCTATGAGTTTGGGATCAGCCTGGTCTACACAGTCAGTTCCAGGCCAGCCAAGGTTATAGAGCAAGACCTTGTCTCAAAAAACAACAACGAAAAGTACCAAGCCAGACAGTGGTGCACGCCCTTAGTCCCAGCACTCAGGAAGCAGAGGCAGGCGGATCTCTGTGAGTTCGAGGCCAACCTGGTCAACAAAGTGAGTTCCAGACCAGCCAGGACCGTTACACAGAGAAACTTGTCTCAATGAACAATGACAAGAAGTACCAGCACTGCCTCCAAGACAGTGTACACTGCAGACCCTTGAGAGCTCTGACACCTCATGTCCTTTACCATCTCTCTCCCTGACCAACGGTCAAAGTCCAGCTTAGGCTACACCCACCTTCCGTTCTCTGGTCTAGCTCTCTCATCAACTGGAAGTTCCTCTGAAGTTCACAGGGAAGGTTCTCAATGCCTGAAAAGAGACATGAAAGTGCTGTACTTCTCAGAGGACAAAAATCTGCCCCCAGGGGTGGAGGAATGGCTCCGCTGTTAAGAGCACTTACTGCTCTCCCAGAGGACCCAAGCTAGATTAGCATGACCTATGCGAAAGCTCACAGGCACCTGTAACTGCAGCCCTAAGGGATCTGATGCCCTCTCTGTACACATGTGATGCATAGACATACATGTAGGCAAAACACACATATACATAAAATAAAAGATAGGGAAAAAAATCAGTAGCAATAAAATCTCCAAGGCCCTCCAGTTAGGGGACTGAAATGATTAAGACCATTTTAGGGGCAGGTACCAACAGGCTGACAGTTTCAGAAGCACTGGCAGCTCAAAGGGAGATGCAGGAACCTGTCCCCAGCATACACAGATGTGGAGGACAGCAGCAATTCCTCCCCTGAGTCACGCCTTCCCCCACCCCCACACACCCCCAAGCCACACCACTCCCTGAAGTGCATCCTCCAAAGCTCAAGCTTTGATTTCTCCAACCTTGTCCTGAACACCTACTGCACCAGGAACCGTGCGTAGACCAGGCAATCCCAAGACATGCTCTCTCTGCTCGGCCCGACACATCAGCCTCTAGCCACACATCGGCGAACACGGGGAAAATCAAGCAGTGCCACTCACTGAGCGGCTCACCAGTCAGTCCCTGTGGTTAGGCTGAGCTGGTTAGCAAACCAGCCCGTGCCACTTTCCTGCTTGTCCACCTGAACTAGTAACCCTTCAGCAGACTCCAGCTGCCTTCTGGGTCTTGTCACACTCCACTCTCCACAGCCAACGAGGCCAGCATTGTAGGCCTACATCTTAGAAAACTTGCTGTAACTTCCTGAGCTCACCGGGATTTCCATCCACAGCCTGACTCCCCTGGCCCCGGCAGCGTTCTACCCTCTCCTCTCAGAGAGAGGGACTTTTATCTGCAGTCTCCAGATCTACACTTATTCCCAGGCCTTCTTTAGAAAGAGGGGGGAGTACTGGAGATGGCTCGGTGGTTAAGAGCACTGGCTGCTCTTCCAGGGGACCCAGGTTCAATTCCCAGAATCCACCCGGCAGCTCATTGCTATCTGTAACTCCTGTTCCAGGGGTTCCGCCTACCCTCACACAAACCAAACACCAATGTACCTCAAATAAAAACAAACTGGTTAAAGAGACAAAATTAAGAAGGGTGGGAAGTATGCCCCAACTATCGGTGAGTTGTGGAGAAACGGGGCTCCTGCCCACAGGTGGCACAGGGCAGGTGGGGAGAGCAGACAGCAGCCATCACGACGCCAGCACCGAAACGAACCCATCTTGGATCCACAGTGGAATGCCCACCGCAGGGGCATCGGAATGAATGGAGACCCACTTCCCCAGCCGTGCCACATAGTCGAAGCTGGGGGGGGGCCCCACTGGCTTGACCCACATCCCTACAAAGGGTCTCAATTCCTCACATGTGGGAAACAACCCTCTCAATTATCGCCGGGAGTCAATGTCACCGTCTATAAACAAACGGAGGAAGGCATGCCTGGGATGTCAAAGACCAGCCCGCTCGTTACACAGGACACCCTCCCTTGCTGGGCTGGCTTGTGGCAACACAAGTTTCCCGCGAAAAGGACGCACCCCGCCAGCCCAGCGCCCCCTACTACCGTTCCTCCAAAGGCAAACGCCACCAGCAGCAGCTTAAGAAGGGGCGAGCCTCCCCAAGCAAGACTGGAGGGGAGGGGCTCGGGGCGTGGCCGGCGCCGGGGGTGTGGCCGAAGCGGGGAGGGCGGGCTGAGCCGCAGGCCCCGCCCCCCGTGACGCACCTGGAATTGGCGCGGCGGAGGCGGCGGGACCCCCGCGCCGCGCCCCACGCCCTCCACCCACGGCCCGGCCCCAGACCGGCCGTGAGCCCCCACTGTCCCCGGGGCCAGTCCCCGTCCGCGACCGCACCCCGGAGCCCCGCACGGGTGGCGGAGGGCCAGGGGCGGCGGCGGCGCAGGCCCGCGAGGGCGGCGGCTCGGCCAGGGTGCTTACTGTCCAGGTAGTGCTCCAAGTACATGGCAGTCGCCATCTTCGCTGCGGCCACGCTCGGGGTCTGCGCGAGCGGGCGGTGCCGCGGACTCGGGGCGGGGCGGGGCGGGGCGGCGCCGCGCGCTCACTATTCATGAGCCGCGCGCGCCAATTGGCCGGAGGAGGGGCGGGGCGCGCCAGGGCCCACCCCCATGCTTCCGGCCGGCTGCGGTCGCCAGGCGGCGCTGTGGGGCTTTCCCTGAGGGAATCCTTGTGGGCGATGGAGTCGGTTCGCAGTTTGCAATGCGGAACTCTTGCTGCCCGCCGCCCAGTTCCGCGCCTTGGCCGTGCCCTGTCCAGTGCTTGCCTGCAGACCTCGCGTGCACGTGCGCCGGCTCCTAGCTTCACCTTCCGGCAGACACCTGCCGCTCGCCGGGCGTTCTTCAGACCTGGGGTCTGGCCGAGCCGAGAGTCGGTGCGAGCTGACTGTGGGGTCTCGATGCTGGCAGCATGGTCCTTCAGGAACGAGACACACACACACACAGCAGGGTATACACACACACAGCATGATCCTCCTGGAGACACGCACACACACACACACACAGCATGATCCTCCGGGAGACACACACACACACTGATGCTCTTTGTTACTGTTTAGCCCCAAAGAGGCTTGCCCACACCGGACCTGAGAGTCTTGACCCACACGTGGTGAAGAGGCCAAGCACGCCTTGATGCCTGCAAAAAAAAAAAAAAAAAAAAAAAAGAAAAGAAAAGAAAAAAAAAAAAAAAAAAAAACTAGAAAAGCTGGGCGTGGTGGCACGAGCCTTTTAAACCCAGCAGGTGGATCTCCAAGACCTGTCCTAGTATACATAGCATGTTCCATGCCCGCCCAGAATAACTAGACCTCGAGACAAATTAAGAAGAAGAAAAAAAAAAAAAAAAAGTGGGGAGAGTTAGCAGTTAGCGAGGCTGTGGTGGCACACGCCTTAATCCCAGCACAGCAGAGGCAGGCAGATCTCTGAGTTCGAGATTAGTCTGGTCTACAGGGTGAGTTCAGGACAGCAACGGCTACACAGAGAAAACCCTGTCTCTAAAAGCAAAAGGGGGGGTGTGCTACTTAGATATGTCATGAAGTGGCGTTGAGTGTGTTTCCTCTGTGTCTGAACCTTATTCGGTGTGGATGCGTTTGCCAGTATCTCTCTGCCTACTAAGATTAGGAAATTATCTCCAGCAAAGTTTCATGGGTGAAATTTTAGTGCCACGTGCCAATCCTGCTTCTACTCTGTAACTTCACGCTGATCAGAAGTTTGGGATTTCTGTCCTGAAAGCCCCAGGGCCAAGGACAGTTGGGGCTACAGCAACAATGTAGGACAACCCCTCACATCTGAGATTGTTGCTTGTATAATTTTTAGTGGTTTTTTTTTTTACATTTATGAGTGTTTTTCACACATGTATATATGTGCATCACGTGCATGCTTGATGCCCAGGAAAGCCCAAAAAGGGCATCAGATCCCCTGAAACTAGAGTTATGAGCCACCATATGGGTACTGAGAACCGAACCCAGGACCTCTGCAAAAGCAACAAGTGCTTTTCACTCAGAGCTATCTCTTCAGCCCCGAAGAAGCAGGGGTTTCCTTTTTCTTCTTCTTTTGTTTTTTGTTTTGCTTTTTGTTTTTGGAGACAGGGTTTCCTTATTATGTGGCTCTGGCTGTACTCAAACGTGATAAGGTAGTAGACTAGTCTGGCTTCGAACTCATACATCAGCTGCCTCTGCCTCCCCAGTGCTGGGACTAAGGGCATGTGCCACCACACCACCTGGCCAAGGGTTCTCATTATTTAAAATGCAGCTTTTGGGGACGTGGTGCGGGTTGCCTTCAATATGTAGCCCAAAATGACCTTGAATTGATCCTCCAGCCTCCACTATCCAGCCCAAAATGACCTTGAATTGATGACCCTCCAGCCTCCACTACCCAAGTGCCAAGTTTCCTTGGTTGTCTGAGCTCAACCCCAGGACTTCATGGTTGCTTGGTAAACATTCTACCAAGTGAACTATATTTCCATCCTTAGAAGCATTTATTTCATTTAAAAAACCTCAAACTATACAGGAATTTAAAATGTTTTCCACTCCCTCCAAACTTTAAACCAACGGCCTTCACTTTGAGTCCAGGTCCTGATCTTTGTATTCTTATGGTAACTTTGTTACAGTTAACGAAACAATATTGATACATTTATTAACTGAAATCCATAGTTTATGATAGAGTCCACTCACTGTGGTCTAATATTTCTGACAAATACATATGAAGTGTTCCTCTCATAGCATCCTGAAGAGCATTCCACTGCCTTAAATCCCTCTGGTCTACTATAGATTGGGACATCCCCCACACAGTCTTGTAACCAATAAACGTTTTACACTCTCTGTAGTTTTGCTTTCTTTCCCCTCAGAATGCCATGTAGTTCCAGTTTACAGTGTGCAGTCTTTTCAGACTGGCTTCGTTTATCATTATGCACTTTTGAGTTCTCCTATGTCCTATTATGGCTTGACAGTTCGTTTCTTTTCTTTTACTTGAAACGCAGTTTATCAGTTCACCTGTTGGAGGATATCTTGGCTGCTTCCATATTTACGCAAGTGTGGATAGAACTGTTGTAACCATTCTTGTCTGAGATTTTCCGTAGACGTAGTTTCCAACTAATTTGTGTAAATATTGGCCATATATTAAGCGTAATTAGTTTCTTGAGGAACAGCCATGCTATCTTCTGACGTGGCCACATACACAATATTTTTGCTTTCTCATTAGCATTGGCAGTTTCCTTTGCACCAAAACCTTACCAGCATGCTGCACTGTTGGAATTGCAGGTTTGGGCTATTGTAGAAGAGATGTGAAATAATCTTTTAATTTATGACTCCTAATAATGTCTATGTTGAACATGTTTACATATCTGTCATCTGAGTACCTTCTTTGACTAGGTATCAGTTCTGATGTTTGCAGACCTTGAATTTCTGATTCTGCCTTTACCTCCCAAGGGCCGGGATTATAAAATATGCCACTCACTATATCCACTTTATTCTGCGTTGGGTATGAAATCCTCTACCAACTGCGTCTTACTCAAACAGCCCACGCTAGCCTTTAACTCGGGATCTTTCTGCTTCAGCCTCTACAGTGCTGTTGTTTTATTTGAGACTGAGACTCACAATATAGCCCTGGGTGTCCTGGAACTTGCTGTGGACATCAAGCAGGCCTCAAACTCACAGACGTTTGCCTGCCTCTTGCACATATATTTTTCCTGACTTTAATATTTTCTATAAAAACACTACTAGGGTCAAAGCAAAAAGAAAGTGATAACTTTTCAGTTCTGGCCAACGCTGCAAATAAATCCATTTCCCCTCACCAATGCATGTCCCTGAGTTTTCTTTTATTTGTTTGTTTGTATTTTTCGAGACAGTTTCTCTATGTAGCCCTGGTTCTTACTCTGTAGACCAGGCTGGCCTCGAACTCACAGACACCCGTCTGTGTCTGCCTCCTGTGCTGGGACTAAAGGCGTGCACCATCATCCCCTGGCTCCTGTCCCTGGATTTAACACAATCCCAGTAACACTAGAACGACAGCAAACATTCCTGGGCGCTCTGACGATGCCGCAGCACGCACACCCTGGGAGTCGATGCTCGCTCGCATCTGTCACTGGTTTCAGAGCGGAAAGCTTAAGATGGCTCTTTTCTCGTGATCAGAAACTCTGAGAAGCCCGCAGGTGCGCGCTCGGGGGGATGAAAACTTGATTCCGTTACTGTGGTAGCATTTCCACGGGACTGGAGCCCGCACAATCCCAATCCCATTGCCGTCGGAGTGGCCCTTGCAGGACGCCGCGGACGGAAGTCCCGCGAGTGGGAGGTCACCAGGAGGCTGGGACCCCGGGCCCGGGCTACGCAACGTCCGGAACCGGTTCCGGAACCGCCGTGCCGCACGCTGCAAGAGCTCGGTTTGCAGCCGGAAGAGGCGGTGCGGCTGGGGACCTGCGCGCTCCCGCCTTCTGCTGCCTCTAAGATTGGCGGGAACCTAACAGGTTGGCGGGCTCGCGGTGGCGATGGCGTCGCGTCGGGGGGCGCTTATCGTGCTGGAGGGCGTGGACCGTGCCGGCAAGACCACGCAGGGCCTCAGGCTGGTGACGGCGCTGTGCGCCTCGGGCCACAGAGCCGAGCTGCTGCGTTTCCCCGGTGCGCGGGTGGGCTGGCCCGGGCAGTTCTCCCTCTCTCGGCTCGGTTTTTGTGTTTTAAAAAAAACTTGTAGCATAGTTACTTATTATTGTGCATGGGTGTGCTGGCTAGTATTAGGTCACCTTGACACGGGCTAGAGTCGTTCGGGGAGAGCGACTCTCAGTTGAGAAAACTGGCCCCACCAGATTGGCCTGCAGGCGAGCCTGGGAGACGTTTTCTTGATTGATGGTTGGTGGGAGAGGGCCCGGGTCACTGTGGGCAGTACCACTTCTGGGCTGGTGGAGCTGGCTTAGCTGGAAAATGCACACTCCGATGTTGACCTGAGTTCAGGCTTGCAGGTAAAAAGCCTGTGTAGTTGCTTATAATCCTAACACTGGACGGGTGGAGACAGGCTCGTGCCTTGATCCTGCGGCTTGCTGGCCGGCCAGTCTAGCCAAACTGAGCTTCAGGCCCCAGTGGGAGAGCCTCTCTGAAAACACAAGGTGGATTGCTCCTGAAAAAGGAGCATGAGGTTGACCCCTGGCCTTCACCCCAAATCCTACACATTATGTAGGGAATTGGGAACATGTGAGATATTCTAATCCTCAAACCATCTTGACTGGAGCCTTGCAAGTACTTTTTAAAAATAATTTGCTTAACTTTATTGTATTTTCATTGGTATGGAGGTGTCAGAGTCCCTGAAACTGGAATTACAGACAGTTGTGAGCTGCCATGTGGGTGCTGGGAATTGATCCCCGGTCCTCTGGAAGAACAGCCAGGGCTCTTAACTTCTGAGCCATCTCTCCAGCCCAAGAGTACTTTTTTATTTGTTTGTTTTTTGTTTTTTCGAGACAGGGTTTCTCTGTAGCTTTGGAGTCTGTCCTGGAACTCTCAGGAGACCAGGTTGGCCTTGAACTCACAGAAATCTGCCTGCCTCTGCCTCACAGGTGCTGGGATTAAAGGCATTGGCCACCTGGCCCAAGAGTACTTTTGAAGTCAAGATGGTTTCTTCACAGTAGTGCATTCTCTTAAGGAAACTCCTGGCTGCTTGGGAGATGGTCCAAACCTGTCTAGAGGTTTAATAACCCCCAGAGTTATGTATGAGTACAAGTGGAAAACTTCAGTGCAGGCTGTCATATACTTTAGGTGAGAAGTCCCATCTAAGTAGTCTTTGCAATTTTCTCTTTCTAGAAAGGTCAACAGAAATCGGCAAGCTCCTGAGTTCCTACTTAGAAAAGAAGACAGAGCTGGAGGACCACTCTGTGCACCTGCTCTTCTCCGCAAACCGCTGGGAACAAGTGTAAATTTCCCTCCCCACCCCCGTAACTTGCAGGCTTTTGTGTGTGGCATGTGCGTGAACACATGTGCAGGTTCATATCTGCATTTTTCGGCAGTATAAACACCTACACACATGTATGCTTGTGCACCTACCTCATGCATGCCTGCAGCCCAGATCTCTGTAACTGGAGTTATAGGTAGTTGTGAGCTGCCACATGGGACTTGTCTTATAGCCCAGGCTGGCCTCACAGCTGAGGCAAGGTTTCTTACTGACACTTGAGCTCACTAATTTTAGGTTTCGGGGATCCAAACTCAAGTCTTCATGGTTACATGGTAAACAAGTTATCCACAGAGCCATCTCCCTAGCCCCCAACTTTTCTTTCTCTTTTGGAGATAGTGGCTCCCTCTGTAGGCCAGGGCATGCTCTAATTAAAGGCAAGCCTCCTAAGTGCCTGCTGTTCTCTTTGTCGCATTTTAAGGACATACACTTAGCTTGCCGGTCATTTGTCAGAAATGTCTTTCATACATTCTCCCGCCCTGGGGTTTGTATTTTCATTTGTTTGATCGCCTCTTGCACAACTTCTTAATTTTACTGAGGTTAGCGTATCAGTCCTTGCGTGGGTTTGATCTTCGGTGTCGTCATCCAAGGACACCCAGGTTTTCTCTCTCTCCCTTGGTTTTTTAAGACAGGGTTTCTTCTCTGTGTGGCCCTGGCTGTTCTAGAACTTGCTTTGTAGACCCGGCAGCCCTCCATCTCCTCCCAAATGCTGGGACTAAAGGTGTGCACCACAGTTTCCTGACTCCCTTTGTTTTGTTTTTCAAGAAAGGGTTTCTCTGTGTAACCCTGGCTGTCCTAGAACTAGCTCCAGGCTGGCATGAATTCCCAGAGATCTGCCTGGTCTGCCTCCCAAGTGCTGGGACTGAAGGTGTGCACCACAATTTCCTGGTTTCTTTCTTTCTTTTTTTTCCCCCCTTGGTTTTTTAAGACAGGGTTTCTCTGTATAGCTTTGTAGACCAGGCTGGGCTGGAACTCAGATCCAGATCCACCCACCTCTGCATCCTAAGTACTGGAATTAAAGGCATGCCCACCACCGCCCAGCCTCTCTCTCTCTCTCTCTCTCTCTCTCTCTCTCTCTCTCTCTCTCTCTCTCTCTCTCTATTTCAAAGTTTTTCATTTTATATTTAGGTACAGGGTCTATGTTAAGTTAATTTGTGAAGGGTGTAAGTAAGATCTGGGTTTAGATTTGTTTGTTTTGTTTTTCATGGCAGGGGTTCTCTGTGTAGTCTGGCTGACCTGGAATATTCTTTGTAGATCAGGCTGGTTTCATACTTGAGTTCCACCTGCCTCTGCCCCCTGAATGCTTTGATTAAAGGTGTGGGTCACTACCACTAGGCTTGAATTGTTTTTTATGTTCACATTAGTGACTCTAACTCCATACATTAAAAAAATGGCTATCGGTTAAGAGCGCCGACTGCTCTTGCTGAGGTCCTGAGTTCAATTCCCAGCAATCAAATGGTGGCTCACAACCATGTGTATAATGGGATCTGACTCCCTCCTCTGACGGAAGTCATACATGCAGATAGAGCACTGGCACCGTCCAGAGAGAAGATACACGGTTTTGTAAATGAGCCTATAAATACGGTGCTGTGATTGCTGTTGTTGGGGATAGTTTGGGGAACCAGTTCCAGGGCTCAAGAGCATTCTGTTTTCCAGGCCCTTGATTAAGGAGAAGTTAAACCAGGGTGTGACCCTTGTTTTGGACAGATACGCCTTTTCTGGGGTTGCCTTCACTGGCGCCAAGGAGGTGAGTACGGCGTGGCTTGTGTTTCAGGTTGTCAGGTGTGGGCCCTGAGCTGCTTTTCCTCATTTTCCGTGTCACCGACCACAGTGAGTCTGTGTTCAGTCACTGTTAGGAAATTGACGGCTCTGGCATTCCTTTAACTGTCTTGCGAGCTTAAATTGGTTTTTATCGATAAAGAAATGTACTCACGGTTAGCTTTTCACTTACAGTGTTGTTTTCCATGTGGAAGACTTACCTCACGAAGAGGCGTTCCTTGTTAGATTTCCATGCACTGCCTCACCTTGTGACCGGATGTGGGATGGCGAGGGCGCTGGCGCCTCCTCCTGAACCCCGTAACTCCTGCACATTGCTTCACAAGTGTAATGATGGCTGCACTGCCCCTCTTCCTTTATTTCTAGAAAACAGTTCTGCCATTTGTGTTCGTTTAAGACAGGGTCTCACTACGTAGCCATTGCTGGCCTGGGACTCACTGTGTAGACCAGACTCCCCATGAATCATAGAGGCCACCTGCCCCCTGCCTGAGTGCTAGGATAAAAAGGTCCACACCACCACATCTGACAGAAAGCCAATGTCAACAGCGTCAGGGACAAGTCCACTGCTGGGTATCACATGGCACTGTTGGTTCTTAATGTTTTGGTATACATCTGTGTGGGTGTGGATGTGTGTTGTTCATTTGAGACAAGGTCTCACTAAGTAGTCGTGGCTGGCCTGGCTGGCCTCAGACTCGCTCTAGTTCTGGGGTTGGGTTTTTTAAATTATTGTATGTATGTAGGTGTTTTGTCTGCATGTGTGTCTGGTGCCCATGGAGACCAGAAGAGTGTCCTGGATCCCCTGGAACTGACATTACAAAATTGTGAGCTGCCATGTGGGTGCTGGGAATTGAATCCAGGTCCTCTGGAAGAGCAGCCAGTACTGTTAACTCCAGAGCCATCTCCAACACCTGCAATTGTTATTTTTGAGACAGGGTCTCCTGTAGCCAAAACTGAGGGGCAACTCAATAAGTAGACAGTGTTGGCCTCAGACTTGTCTATTGTCTCAGCCTTCTGAGTGCTGGGGTTACAGGAGAGAGGCATTGAAGTGCCTCTTTCCTCTTTATGGTATTATTGTATGTAAAGATGGAGGCCAGGGCATCTGTCACAGCATACATGTAGAGGTCAGAGGCCCACTTGGGAGAATTGGTTCTCTCCTTAAACGGAGTTTTGGGGATTTAACTCACAAATCAGGCTGTATGGTAAGTGCCTTTACAAGCTGAACCTTCTCACTGGCCCAAGTGTCTGGATTTTTTTTTGTTTTGTTTTGTTTTGTTTTGTTTTGTTTTTTCCTGCTGGGAATTGGATCTAGGGTCTCAAACATGGTAGCCATTGCTCTAACACTAAGGTATATCTGTAGTCCCTTAAGTCTCTTCATGTGTAAGTTCCCACCTTTCTTTAAAATATTCTGAGTACCAAGAGTGTAACTTGAGTTTTATATTTTTTAAAAATGTACTTATTATGTATGCAGTGTTCTGTCCGCATATATGCCTACAGCCAGAAGAGGGCACCAGATCTCATTATAGATGGTTTTGAGCCACCATGTGGTTGCCGGGAATGAATTTATAATCTCTGGAAGAGCAGCTAGTGCTCTTAACCGCTGAGCCATCTCTCCAGCTCTTATTTAAAAAAACAGATGTATTCATTTTACTTTTATGTATACATTTGCATCTAGAAGCCAGAAGAGGGTGTCAGATACCCTGAGACTGGAGTTCCAAAGAACTGTTAGCCACCATGTGGGCGCTGGGAACTGTACTTGGGCTCCTAACAGCTGAGCCGTCTCCATGTAGGAGAGTGTAACCATGGTAAAGCATGTGCTTGCCCATCTTCTCCCCTGACTGTCCTGGAACTTACTCTGTAGACCAGGGTAGCCTTGAACTCAGACCTGCCTGCTTCTGCCTCTGTTGTACTGGGACTAAAGGTTGTGCCACCAAGGACCAGTATCTCCTCTGAACTTTATTCTTTTTTTGTTTTGTTCTTTTTTGACAGTCTGGAGCTGACCTTGACCTTGAATTTACAAAATAGCCAATAACAACACTGAACTGCTTCTATCTCCCATGTGCCAGAATTGCATTTGTTTTGCTTTGCTTTTGAGGCAGGGTGTCCTGTAGCTCAGCTAGATTTGGAACTACGCAGCTGAGGATGAGTGTGATGTTTTCATGCTGCCACTTTGCAGGTGCCGTCAAAACCGAGCTTCATGTTTTTACCTTGTACTTCTAAGCTTCTAAGAGTGCTGTGTCTGATAATGCCTTCATTAGCCCTTGGGGATGGCAGATTGCTAAGTGACAAAACCTTTTAAATTCAGCTGTTTCTTTTACATATGATGAGTCCTCCCCCAATGAAATATTTTGTTTGTGTAAGGAAGCAGGACAGATGACTGGCACACTAAGACCCTGTAGGTCTTTGGGGTTACTTCTTGAGCTTACAGTGTTTCTGGGGGATAGAAGGCCTCTATCCCTACTTTTCTGGAAACGACATTTTTCATAAGGTGATAAGAGGGAATATGTACATGAGATCAAGTGGGCAGGCAAGAGTGTGGGTGTGGTGGGTTTCCAGGATTGCTTGTTTTCTGACGTGCTTGTTGGGATACAGATGAAATCTTACGGCACCAAGCTCAGTCCTGTCTCTGAACAAGCTCCTTTCCATCTCACACTTTCTAGGCTGAATGTACCACTAGGATACCAACGTGTGCCATGCCTTATTCCGAGACAGGGTCCATCTTGGATGTAATGAGGTTCATAGACAGCAGAGCACAAAGCTGTGATATACCCTGTTAACTCTTATTTCCAGCAGGTTTCCCAACCCCACTTTGAAACAAATAACCCACTCAGTTTCACTGTCTCTATTGGCAGAATTTTTCCCTGGATTGGTGCAAACAGCCAGACGTGGGCCTTCCCAAACCTGACCTGATCCTGTTCCTTCAGTTACAATTGCTGGAAGCTGCCACACGGGGAGAGTTTGGTCTGGAGCGCTATGAGACTGGGACTTTCCAGGAGCAGGTTCTGCTGTGTTTCCAGCAGCTCATGAAAGATAAAAACCTCAACTGGAAGGTGAGTCCTGGACACAAACAGCCATTGAGAAGCTGTGTGGTAGTCTACCCTCGGTTGACCCAGGCACCGCTGTAGTTAGTTTGGTTTGCCCACCAGTGAAACCTCAGGGAAGCTATTCTGGTTCTCTGCTAATAGACTTTTTTTTTTTGGTGTTAGTAGTGGTGCTAGCTACAGCACCAGGGTCTCACCATTGAGTTATTCTCCCTGCCCCACCCCAGACCCCCTCCAGGGGCAGGACTTGGAGATGGTGACATTTATTCAGATTCTGTCCTTGTTTGCACATGGAGGCGCCTGTCCTGAAGGGACAGAGCAGGTGTTTAGGACACTTTCATCATCTCCCAAGAGGACAGAAGGCAAACCAGGGTGATCGGGCCCTGCTGTGCATCTTCCAACAGCTGGAGGGCCCTCAAAGGTGGGACTGGGTTTTTTGTTGTTTTTGAGACGGGGTCTCTCTACATAGCCCTGGCTGACCTGGAATCCACTATGTAGTCCAAGTAGTTCCGTCTGCCTCTCCTGAGTGCGGGAACTATAAAGGGCATGGAGCCTGTTCTTACAGAGGATAGTTGCTCAGTTTGTTTAGGAACAAGACTTAGTGCACCCTGCTTCCCGTGCCTGGGATGTGGTGGGTATGCAGGCTGCTGTGGGTGGACGGTCCCCGAAGGCTTTAGGTTGGCTTTTGCAGGCACTGGCTCACCTGAGGTCACCACGTGCACTGGGAGTGCACTGGGATATAACGAGCCTTCTCTGCTGTCTTCCTGTGGGGTGACAGGTGGTTGATGCTTCCAAAAGCATTGAGGATGTTCATGAAGAAATCCGGACCCTCTCTGAGGACGCCATCCGCAGTGCTGCACATAGTCCACTGGAGGAGCTATGGAAGTAAACTCAGCTTCAGTGCTGCTACTGTAGATAGCTTTCTCAGGTTCTTCTGAGGATGGTGGAAGGCTCACAACACCGTTCAGCAGGAGCTCGTTCTTAGCAGAAGAGACCTACAAACCTCTACTCACAACCTAAGATTTTGGTGATACAGACAAGTTGTGCAATATCTTCCTCTGTCTACTCCTAAAGGTGTGACATATTTCCATATAGAACATTAGTGGCAACTCTGGGTAGTTTCCTTGATATCACTAAAAATATCAAGCTAGTCAGGAGCCATGTTTTTTAAAGAAACTAATAAAAATTTACTTAAAAGTGGACCTCACTGTCTTCCCCTAAGAATTTGTAGAGATGGATCTGCCTACTGTGGCTTTGGTCAATGTTATCAGGCCCCCATGCTCTGTGTCTGTTCTCAGGCGTCACCGGGCTTATCAAGAGGCATGATGCTCAACATTCTAGACCTACTGATAGTAACTTTTGTTGGCTTTTTTTTTTTTTTTTTTTTTTTTTTTTGCTGTTGAAGCTTCTCACACCATTCCCTCCAAAACAGGATAATTGGACTTTTCCTGGCAGAAGACAGCCTATATGTGTAGAGTGTGTTGCAGGTGAAGTAAACCACCTTCCCCCACAGGATCAGAAGGATGTGGGCTAGATGGATGGTACCTTGATGCACACCTTTAGTCCCAGCACTCAGAGGTAGGTAGGTGGATCTCCCAAGTTACAGGCGAGCCTGGTTTACACAATGAGATACTTACTCAAAAAAACTAAAAGTAAAAAGAGGTAGGGAAATAGCCAGGTAGGTCATCACAAGCCTCGTAACAAGCCCCAAGGTCAGGAAATGCAGAGCATTTGCAGGCCCAAGAGGAATGTAGAAGCCTCTGGATGTTGGGGAGTTAGCCCTATTAACAGCATAGTCTGTGGTTTGTGGCCCTCCAGAACCTTAACAAGGTCCAGCAGTGGGTCATGTACTATGTGGTCACAGCAGCCATAAGATGCCAACAGAATGAGAGGTAAGCCTTGCCTTGGGCCATTGAACTTGGGTCAGCAATTTTCCTTTGGACTCAAGAACAGGCAGGCATAATCAGAGGTTGTCCCACTGAGATTTCACAAGGCAGGGTGAGATGATTCTCAGTCTCCTACTTGTGCCCTGGCTGTATCCTTACTAGCTCCCCAGGCCAGGTACAGCCTGCAAACCTTGTAAGTTGAAGCAAGTGCCTTTTTTAAAGCAAGATCCACCCCTCCCATCCCAGGCTGTTTTTCTGTGTAGCTCTGGCTGTCCTGAAACTCACTTTGTAGACCAGGCTGGCCTTGAACTCACAGATATTCCTGTTTCTACCCCCTGACACAACCCCTACTCCCTCCAGTGCTAGGAATAAAGGTGTGTGCTGCCACCACCACCCAGCATAAACAAGGTTTTTACTACTTCTATGTGTATGTGCCCACAGAAGCAAGATGTGTCAGATCCTCTGGAGCTGGGGTCATAAGCAGGTGTGGGGGCTGGGGACTGAACTCCGGTCTCCTGGAAGAACAGTCAGAGCTCCTAACTGTTAAGTCATTCTCAAGCCAGCCCCCTGGCTCTTTTTTTAATCATGTTCTCCTTGCATTTCTTCCTTTTAGGGCCACATTTTTATTCAACATGAGGGCTACACAGTTAGGCCAGAGGCAGGGCAGGCTCCACTTGTCCAAAGTGGGTAAATCTGTTATCTGTCAACGCTAAAATCATAGCCAACCATAACTGGAGGAAAAAATCAACACACACACACTTTTGTTTTCTACTGAAACTTATTATTTACCATTAAGAATTGCAAACTATACTACTAAGAATGAACAACCTCAGGAAGCCTTTCTCAAGCCCTGAGAGTTCCCTCAGGTTGTAGTTTCCACACACCCACCCTTGGTACCATCAGTAAGACCCTGGGTCACAGCAACACAATGGTTACTGACGGAGTGGAGCGTCAGGGGAATGGAAACTGTCCTGGCCTTCCCCCATCCCCCCCAGTCCCAACCCACCTGAAGGTAAGGAACAAGATATAGGGGAGAGGAAGAGGAAATAAATTATGTTAACACTTGGTGAGCAGGGGTAACCCTTGTTACTTTGTGGGCCCCTTAAGAGTTGCCTTATCTGGCATAGGCCACCAGGGAGCAGCTCCAGCCTCACCCATTAACAGGCAGGCTCCTGGGGAAGGGCTTTTAGTCAAAGCCCCAGAAAGGGCCATCCCACACTGCCATGCTGTTCCTATCTCCTAGGGGACGGAAGGCCTCTCTAAGACAGCAGAGCAAGAGCATCAAAGCTTGAAGGCGCAGAGAGCCAGGGTTAGGAGTGGCAGGGATGGAAATGAGTGCCGAGGAGGGACTTCGCCTGCCGGTGCCTGGAGCTGCCTGCTGTTTAAACGTCTACTAAGCACTAAAAGCCATAGCTCGTTAGCCTTTTTGGCCCCGAACCATCTAAAATCCACCCCGGAGGGTTTCTGAGAAGGGCAAGAACGTGGAAGAAGGCTCAAGTAGTGTGCACCCACCACCAGCGGGTAGTGTCACAAGCAAAGAGCAGCTCTGCGTCCCTTTCCCCCCTCCCCCAGAGGGAAGCAGGGTGGCAAGCGGACAGAAGCAGGCCATGTGACTTTCAATGCATCAGCCCCTTACAGGAAACAAATCTCTTCCCTAGGGAGGTCCTAATGGGGAAGATCCCCAGGACCACAGCTCCAGATGCCCTGGGAGCTTGAAGGCTTACCCCATGGCTCAGGTGTCCACACTGGCCACGCACACTCACGTCTTTGGGTTTTCCACATGCCCCACTGGAATATTCAAAGCAAGTAGCAGCCTTGCTGTAGTTCTTTGCATATGCTCTCCCACTGAGGTAGCCCTTGATAATCACACTGGACAGCGGAGACAGCCCAAAGCTCACCCTGCCCAGCAGTATGAGGCCATGCTGTGGCTGTTACTCTGTATGTGTCAACCTGTAGGCCTTCTATGGCTGCCCTGGGAAGTGCCCCAGAAATTCATGTCTTTGTTAAACAACTTCAAACAGGGCTTTAATGCCGAATAAACCACAGACCCGGGTGCCCAGGAGAAAGCAGGACCAGGGCTGGCAGTGTCAAGTGGAGAGCTCTGGAAGCTCCTGACCTCCTGCTCTTCCTGACTAGGCCCTCGGTGTGTTTGGGGTTAGGCAGTCTGACTCCAAGCAGTAAGGCCTCCAAGCACCGCAGTCCTTGGTCCATGAGCAGAGCAGGCCCTCTGGACAGAGGTGGCACAGGCGCACAGCACTCGGCAGGGGTGGGCTGGGTGGATGGAATGCGGTGACACTGAGTGCCCAAGGCAGGTCTGGGTTCTCAAAGCACCCCAGTGAAGGCCACAGAGGCCATCCCCAACCACAGGAGTTTCAGAGGGTTAAGATTTCAAAGTCTTCATCTTCAGAGTCAAAGAACCTCTCCAGTCTCTCTACATCAGAAGAATCTGGAAGGAACAAGACAGAACATTAGCATCTCCTGGGAGCTGGTGTGGATGTGGGTCGGCTGGGAAGATGTTAGGAGAGGGGGGCAGACTACATTGGGCCTGCTAGGCCCCTTCCTGACTGGAGAGTTAACGGGCAAAAAGGGCTTCAGACCCAAGAGAAGTGACAAGGCCCTAAAGAGCGGGAACTCCATGCAAAAAAAGAGAACGGCATCTGTCTCCTGCCAACAGACGGTGATGGGGTTTGGCAGCAGCCCAGGAGGATGACAGGCACCAGCTGAGGAATGAGCAGGTCTGGCCAGGCCTCTATCCACTATCTTCCAAGGCCAGTCCCTGAACTCTACTGTGCTGGAAGACCCAGGCTGCCTCCAGCAGGCACACTAGCCATAGGTCAAAGAGCCAGGACTGCTCATCTCCAGTGGCTTTTACACTGGACCTCATCATCGCAAAAATGTGTGCCCCGGCAACAGCTCTTGGTAGAATACAGACATACCATGCTGCTGCCAAACTCGGGGTTTGAGGCATGGGGTGCTCTACAGTGTCCTCTCAACCTGGGGCTCATATAAACATTAATGGTTAAAAGGAAAAGGACCACCACCTGAAGGGTTTGTGGCAGGCCCAGACCGCATGAACTAAGATGTGGACAGGAGACTATCCCATCTAGACTTGGCTCTGCAGCCTCAGTACTCACCTAGGGACAGGTTTAGGACATCCTGACAGGCCAGATGGGAAGGCTGCTGTTCTACCAGCTCAAACATGGGCAGGGCACCGCCAAGCAGGGACAGCTGTCAGAGAGACACAGCTGTTAGATGCACCTTGACAGTCACTATAGCCTCCAGCCTGCAGAGGTCTAACTTCACAGAGAAGAAAATGGAAGTGGTACCCATACCAAAAGTTACAGCATAGACCAGCAAAGTGGTCAACACAGCCAGGTCTGTCACCCCATCGGACACACATGACCACAGCGGGTACAGGGAGGACAACAGGAAGGAACTGGCGGAGGGGCAGCCTTTGGCTTATGATTTATTACCACCCCATAACCACGAGGCAGGTGAGTGGGCCAGACTCTACCACAAAGTTAATGTACAACACTGAGGTAAAAGATGAGCAAATTATGACCTAGACACAGACAAGAGAAACAGCAATGCAAGGCAGCTGCCCCGTTGCGTCTGCCCACATGTGTGAGGCAAAACTCCCCATGCAACCAGGGGATGGGGCCCCTAGCTAGGCCATGCAAAGAGGCTCCCTTTATCCCAGCCATCTTGTTGCCTGGCTCCCCAGAACTTTCATCTTGGCTCTGGACAGGGACAGTTATACAGACCTTTTTGACTTGCTGACACCAATTGTTAAAGTCTTCCTCAGTCTCACAGAAAAATCCCTAAAATGAAAATGATTGTGAAAATAGTGACTGCACCCATGAGCATGAAGCTGTGATCTCCAGTCTGCAGATCCTGGCATGCACTTGCCAATACGTGCCAGGCTATCTGTTCTGCCCATGCTTTGGTTCACACATACAGACACCGCCCAATGCATGGTGGCAAGGGGAGTAACTCCACCATGTGTTCCCTTTGATCTCAGCTCTCAAAAGCTGGGGTGGGGCTCAAGCTTGGTGCTCTGCACCTGCTAGCCCCATCTTCCGTAAGGTTAGCTGTCTAGGTGGTAGAAGAACATTAAGTTCAATCACTGAGCTGCTGAGACGCATTCACCACAATGTACACACACTCTAGTTAGCTGAGGAATTTACCAGTGGCTTCTGCAGGAAGTCTGAGCCCCAGAGCCCCAGCCTACTCTCCACAGAACTTGGGAGGGGCACACGTGGCAGAGTGCACACTGGGTGTTGTGTCTGTGTGACTGTCACACATTGGTAGTAGACATGCTGCACTCTCTGCCAACGAACAAGGTGATGGCAGCCTAACCAGGCAATGACTTTCCCTGGTAAGCCACTGTTTGACATTTGGGGTTTTGCATCCTTTTCCCCCAAACACATTTTGAGTAGGCAGGTTTATATAAATCATCAGAAATCCCTACTATATCATCAAAAAGAGAGATGGAGAAGCTTATTCAAGGGAATACATCAAGTGAACAAACACGAAAATGATGATGTTGTCATTTGTATTTTATATAGGGTAGGAAAAGACGTCCTCTCACACTTGGTGCGTGCACTCAGTCACAGGCAACACGCACACACTGGCTGTGAATGGCACTCAGGAGGCGGACAGTCTGGGGAGGATAAGAGGGTTCTTCACTACATAAACTTAACACTCTAAAATGTTGGGGAAATTACTACAACTTAGACATTTCCCTTCATATTCCACTCAGAACTGGCACAGAATGCCTCAACAGTTGCCTAGGAGTTTGCACAGTTGGAACATACCACAGCAATGGATGGGTCAAGCTCTCCAATGCCCATCCGGCAGGGAGGGTGTTGGCAGTGGAAGCTCTCATCGGGGATAAAGCAGCTGTCAGTCAGCTCCACTGCAGGCTGTGTAGTATGGGGGTCCAGATAGATGAGCTCCTCACCTGAGCAAGATGACAGGCAAGTCAGAGGAAGCTGCCGAGAGGGAGGGAGCAGGCCAGGCAGCATACAGACCCACCACATCAGAGTCAGCACAGAAGGCAGGTAGAGGTCAAAACATCACGGGGAATGGGGCACGTGCCACCACAATGAGTGAGGGAGAGGCAAGTGAATTAACACAACTCCACAGGAAAAAACGACTCCTCAGGGAGACAGATCTCTCTGGACCCACAGCATGCAGATCAGACTCACCAACATAGCCAATAAAGTAGTGGGCACTGTTGGGCTTCCCTCCAATGACACCCAAGGACTGGGGCATCATGAAACAGTGCTGCAAGACAGAAGGGGGAAGGCGGCTGAGCACGCTGGCCTTGCAGCAGCACGCAAGACGACTGCTCCTACACAGTCCCAGGGAATGGTCAAGAGATACGGAAGGGCAGGACAGACCAAGATGGGTGAGAGGCTTTGTACTTGGTTTACCTGAACACTGAGGGGTGATTAAAAGTGAAAGATTTGACACCGTAGCTTAAAAGGCTTTGCTGCTTGTTTTTATGATGGGGTGAGAGAAGTCAAAGTAGGTAGATGGACTTCTCACTGAATTTGTCTGCAGTCGCCATCTTCATGGGCCTAACCCACCCACCAGGCCAGCGGCTCTCAACCTTCCTAACACTTCAACCCTTTAATACAGTTCCTCAAGTGATGGTGACCCCCAACCATAAAATTATTTCATTGCTAATTCACAATGGTAATTTTACTACTGTTACAAATCATAAATGCAAGTATCTGACATGCGGGATCTGATATGGGACCACAAAGGGGTCACGGCCCATGGGTTGAGAACCATTGATCCAGTCACAAGTCGAGGCTCAAGGGATACCCAGGAAGGGCACAGCAGAGACCTGACAGAGACAGAAGACCCTGATGCCAGCAACAGGCTGACGGGTCTTGAAAAAGCTGTAGACATTTAAATTCTCCGAAAGATTAAGGCCTTTCATCCCCATCTCATACAGATACAACTAACTGACCACACCGAAACAGATAAAAAATTGGGAGCACAGGGCCCAGGTTAGAGCTGCTCAAAGACTCACCTTCAACGTCTCCACATAGGCCTCATTGATGTCTGTAAGTCCCAGGCGGAGAGGGATGAGGAGCACTAGGGGTCTCCAGGTTGATGGCCTGTTGGTGACATCGGCTCCAGCAGGGAACCCGTTACAGTGCCGCTCTGAATCTGTAGGAAATGCAGCAGCCCCTGCACAGGGAAGGCTGGCCCTGCACAACCTTCCTGGAGAGGAAGACAAGTTTCTCATGGGCTAAGCGGAGGCAGCAGAAGGTCTTCTCAAGGAGAAGTGTTCTGGAAATCAAGTGCTTAGGCTCTGGCTGGAGAGATGGCTCAGTGGCTAAGAGTATATGACTATACCTGCAGGGGATACTGGTTTGAGTCCCAGTATGCACAAGGCAACTCACAGCTGTCTGTAACTCCCCTTCCAGGGGATGCCACACCCCCTCATGGCCTCTGCAGGTACCAGGCAGGCAAGCGGTGCACAGACCCTGGGTCTTCGGCAAGAGTAACCAGTGCTCTTCTCCACCAAGCCCATCTCTCCAGCCCCCTCTCATCACTGGGATTAAAGGCATGAGCCATCATGGCCAGCTTTTAAATCATTACTTCCTTCCTGTGTGTGTGTACATGTAAATGTGTGGGGTCAGCAGACAAGGGGGTTGGGGGAGTCAGGTTCCAGGGACTGCACTTAGGTTGTCAGGCTTGGCAGTAGACCACCCTCAAGACCATTCACAGGCCCACTGTTTAGCTCTTCTAACCTCTAAGCACACACCAGAGCCACCTTTAGAATTTATCTATTTTTTTTTTTTTTTTCAAGACAGGGTTTTTCTAGGTAGATTAGGCTATCCTGGAACTAGCTCTGTAGAATGGACTGGCCTCGGAGATCCACCTGTCTCTGCCTTTAGTGCTGGGATTAAAGGTGGTGAGCTACTACCGCCCAGCAAAACACATCTTTAAAACAAACAAACAAACAAACAAACTAAATAAATAAATAAATAAATAAATATACAACTCTTTAAGAACTGAAGAAATGGTTCGGCTGTTAGGAGTGTTTGAGGCTCTTCCAGAAGACTGAAGTTCGGTTACCAGCACTCACATTGGGTGGCCTATAATTCCTTTTTCTGGCTCTCTGTGGGTACCCCTCACTGTACCACCACAAAGAGAGTGAGAGAGAAATAACTATCTTAAAAAGACAACTCTGAGTAAGTGAGGTCTTCTTTTATTCCATTGGAAATTTTCACCACAAACATTTGGCTTTTAAACCATGTCTATTTTGCTCACTGCCACTCGGAAGCTTAATTCCATCTGTCTTGGTTTTCCCTTACTTCTTCTCCCTCCCTCTTCCGACATTTCAACCAGAAAGGCTCCCCTCTGCTAGTATACTTTTCCAAAAATCCGAATGGGATCGCTATAGCCAGCTCTCAGGATGAAGGAGGTTCTGGCAACCTTTGTGAATGATGTCAGTTCTTCCCTAACTGTTCCATTCACAAGCAGTTCAAGAAGTTAGAAGCAAAGAAACTAAGTTGCTACTGTGCCCTTAGCTTTGCTGACATTTCTAAGAAACGGGCTATCATGGACAACTTTAGCAGTGGAATAAAAAGGCAGCTTGTTTATATTTATGTGTCTGTATGTGCACACACATGGAGATCAGAGGCCAAACTGAAGAGCTGGTTCTCTTTCCACCATGCTGAGTCACAGAAATCAAACTCAGGTCATCAGGTCTGGTGAAGTGCCATCTCACCAGCATGCTTCCTGTCTTCACCGATACCCTCAAAAGCCAAAAACAACTGTCACAAGTGAGAGTTGCCTCATCTACCGCTACCACATTACACCATGCTCAGGAACCCAGCCTCTTTGCCAGAAGCTCCTGTCCTTCATCGTGTCCCAATATAATTTTTCCTAAATTCAGAGTCAGATGCTTTGTCCTGTCCTATAACGAGACATCATTTCTGACAGGGCTCTGGTCAACCACTAAGCAGCCTCAGCACCCACGAGGAGCTGTCAGAGATACAGACTCAGGCTCCTTCCTCAGGATCTGATCCACATCCTCATGACAAGGCCTCAGTTCATGAACTTATTGGTCCAGTGTTGATATTTCAGACAGTCCTGAGACTACAGGAGAGACTGCCATCACCATGGCTCCCACAGTGCCATAGGTACCCAAATTACTCTAGGGGTGGGAGAATGGCTCAACAAGTAAAAGGCATTTGCCATGCAACCTCAAGGATCTGAATCCCAAAGGTCACGGTAGAAGGAGAGAACCAACTCCTAAAAGCTGTCCTCTGACTTTCACATGGAAAACACATTGTAACAGATATCACACACACACACACAAAAACACACCAACTTTTTTACTTAAAAGTTACTATGGGGGCTGCAGACATCATTGATAAGAGCACCTACTGCTTTTGCAGAGGACCTGAGTTCATTGCAACCAAGCCCAGCTGCTCACAACCACCATAACTCCATTTCCAGATCCAATGGCCTATTTAGGGCCTCCGAAGACTTGTGAACACACACACACATCCTAAAGGAGAAGTTCCATAGATTTTTTTCCAGCATTAGTAGTCTTCAATACAATTTAAAAAGATACTGTTTTCTTTCTTTTTTCTATTAATTACTACTACTACTACTTCTACTACTATTATTTTGTTTTGTTTCTTTCCCATTTTTGAGGAGGGCGGACAGGGTTTCTCTGTGTGGCCCTGGCTGTCCTAGAACTGGCCCTGTATACCATCCTAGCCTTAAACTCAGAGATCCTCCTGCCTCAGGCTTCTGAGTGATGAGATTAAAGGCGTGCACCACTACCGCCCAGATACTCCCATGTTTTCAACATCAGGGCAAACGACTTATGATACTATTTAAGGCTTTGGTTGTTTTCCTGCTCTGTGAATGTGTGGCAGTACTAGGAATTGAACCTAAGAAATTTACCACTGAGTTATAGCTATAGGCCCTTTGCTTGTTTATTTTTTGAGATAGTAGTATCTCACTAACTATGTTCATCAGGCTGGCCTTGAACACATAGAGATCTACCTACCTCTACCTCCAAAGTACTAGGATTAAAGGTGTGCACCTCCACACCCAGCTACTTCTCTTTTGTTTTTGATTTAGGTTGGCATGTAGCCCAGGCTGGCCTTGAACTCCTGATCTTCCCACCTCCATCTTCTAAGCACTAGGACTACAAGTATGACCACTTTCCCTTAGAAATGAATTTGTGCCTCTGGTTTCCCTCGGGCTACTGGTAGGCATTCATTCCAGAACCATGTACTTCCTTCTTAGGCTTCCTTTGCCGGAGACGGGGTAGATGAAAAGCCCTCCTCACATCTCGTGTGAGCATTAATACAATGCAAAGTGGCATACATTAACAGATATTTTTTCTTCATGTTAAGGCTATCCTGCCCTTTAATTCAAGAACTAAAATTACTCTCTCCCACTGTAACCATCCTAGTGTGGCCTGTGCGGTTCTGCTCATCTTTAACATGTTATCTGCCGCACACACTTAAAACTGCCTTGATGCTGGAGAGAACAGCTTCCTCTCCCTTAGCCTAGCAGAACAGTAAGACAATGGGGTTTACAGATGTCTGCCCAGCTTCCACAGCTGGGCAGTACCAGTGCTGCTGAGACTCAAACCCCTTAGCTGAGGCTCCCTCTTGGGCCTCCTGTGATAAACCCCGAGCCACTTACTGATCTCCTCCATCACCACAGTGTTGTCCATTGCTATGTGAACAGCCAAGGAACTCCACGTGTCGAATACAGCAAGCTTCCTACAGAAAGTGAGAGAATATCCCCATGAGCCTTCTACAGCATGAGCACTGCACCATCACAGTGACAATCATGAGGCAGTTTCAGAGTTTAAGTCAAGGATTTGTCCAATAACTCAAACAGAAAGAAAGCTGGGTGTTGCTCATCAGGGAAAAAAAATGCCAGCTGCCCCTGGCCAGGAGACAGAGTATGGACAGGAGCCCCTACGTGGCACAGCAGCTCAAGTGTCACCTGTGTGGAGGCGGGTCCAGCTGACTGTTGAGCACCTCATTCTGAAATGACAGCCCCGGAAACCTAAGCATCAGCACAGATGTGACCACCCGCTGGAAAGAAGCATGGTGGCAGACTTAGGGCTAGGAAAGAAGAGCAGACTGCAGCCATGCTATGCAGGGAGAGGGTGTCAAATGGGTGCCGGGGACGCAGAAAGCCAAAAACCAGTGAGAAGACAGAGAGCAAGAAAGGGCATTTTGTCATGGGACAGTTACCAAGGACCTAAGCTGCAAGGTCCTGGTATGTCCAGGAACACAACCAGAGGCCAATGCTTGGAAGGCACCAGGGAAGGTTCTCAACCTTCCCAAAGCTTCGACTCCTTAGTACACATCCTCACGTTGTGGTGACCTCCAACCAAAAATTATTTCATTGCTACTTTATAACTCTAATTTTGCTTCTGTTATGAATCACAATGTAAATATCTGATATGCAGGATACCTTAACAAAGGGTCATTTGACCCCCAAAGGGGTTACAACCCCCAAGTTGTGACCACTGCACAGCCCCTCCTGTGTTGGCAACTTGGAGGGGCTCAGTAGAGCCAGTACTCCCTCACCGCCTACCCATCATGCCCTGCCACAGCAGTAAGTGTATGGACCCAGGAGAGTCAAAGCAGCACTTCACTGCGCTGCCATGTCTGTAAAGCAGGCACAGGTTGTGTAGACTGCGGTCAGCAGAGGCATGTGAACAGGCTAGGAAGGTCTCAGGGGAGAGCTACCTGGCCAGGGCTGTAAGTTACACAAAGGTCCTAAAGCAGGAGTGAATGAGCAACAGATGTGCCATCCAAGGATGTGTCAGGGTAGAGTAAGCTCAGGGGGAGGGACAGGGTGGGTCATGATGTGGTAACCAGCTAAGATGCCTAGGACAGCTCCAGCCTCAGGGAGGGCTGTTGCATTTTATGGAGATGACTCTGGTTATTCTTTGAAAAAGTCTAGGAGAGAAAGAGGATTAACAATAAAGCATGAGACAAGATAGGGACCAGGAGAGGGAAGGAGGGATGAGCATGGGTTAAAATTGCCTCATGAGCCTCCAGGTAGAGAAGCAATAGAGTTGAGGGGTGTAACCCTATCCCTGTGTGTAGGACAGATGTAGCCACAGGTGAGGAAAAGCAATCCAGCAATAAAAGCAGGGAGCCCAGGACAGACAGTAAGCACGGGTAAGCAGCCTGACTTGCCATTTCCAGAAAGATGCAAATAGTAGGGGCTGCTCTTTGCCAGGAAAGACAGAGGGAAGGTGGGGCAGCAGAGATGAGCAAAGCAGTGATGGAGAGCTGGTCAGGCTATTCAGAGCTGCAGTGGAAGGGGCAGCACTGTGGCGGCTCTGTGAATTACATCATGAGCTGAAGAGGTGTGTGCTGAGGAGAGCTGGGACTGCCCCTCACCCCCTTGTATATCTGAATGCTCAGTCCCCAGTTGGGGACCTGTTTGAGAAGGGTTAGGAGGTCTGGCCGTGTTAGAGGAGGTGTCACTGGGGGTAGGCTTTGAGAATCCAAAGGTATTGTCACCCCCAGTTAGCTCTTGCTCTGCTCATGCTAGTGGAGCAGATGTAAGCTCTTGGCTACTGCTCCAGTCACATGCCCGCCTGCCTGTCTGCCTGTTGCCATGCTCCCTGCCACCATGCGCAGGGACTCTAGCCCTCTGGGACCCTAAGTCCTCAAAATTAAATTGTTTTTTGTTTGTTTTGTTTTTATAAGTTGCTTTGGCCGTGGTGCTTTGTCATGGCAATAGGCAAATCACTAAGGCAAGGCAGGACTTGGAAATGGATGCTAAAGGGTATGGAGTAGGTATGCATGCCACCAAGAAGCCAAGTCAAGGAGGAGTCACAGCCAGCCATGGCTTGGGATGGCTGGGCATCAGATATAGGAGAAAAGGAAGTGTTCATTCAGGTGGCGCCTGCAGGAGATGGCCACTGCAGACACGGGATAGGGTGTCAGGGAATATCCAGGAGAAATTACAGCTGGAAAAAGATTTGAGAGATACTGGCTTTCAGTCCAATAGGAAATGGCTCTACATAAGTAAGTGCAGAACCTTCCAGAGGCCACAGGGAAGTATATCAGGTCAAAAAACAGGGCAGGGAGAGGAGGGTGGGCAATGTAGGGATGGCTCAGTGGTTTAGAGCATCTGTTGCTCTTGCACAGGATCCAGGGTTCAGTTCCCAGCACCCACACAGCAGCTAACAACCACCCGTTAACTCCAGTTCCAGGGATCTAACAACCTCTTCTAGCCTTCCTGTAAGCCTTGCATGTATGATGTGCACAGACGTAAGTGCAGGCAAAATGCCCATATATACAAAAATAATCTTCAAAACAAAAACACTGAGGGGGTCAGATGCTGACAAGTGGCATGTCCCTGAAACAGCAGAGGAAATTTTGGAGCAAATATCCCTCAGAACAAGGCTGACTGAGCTCCAGACTCTGGGGCCACAGAGAGGACAGGAAGAGACAGGCAGGGACTCATGAGAAACAAACTCCAACAAATTCTGAACAACATGTAGAGGCTTATGATCTCTGACAAATCCACAGAGGTAGAGAGGGCTATGGTGCCTGCAGAACCGCCATGGTTCCAGATCTGAGATGCCCTCATTACAGATGAATCTGTACACCAAGACAGAGGACAGGGCCATGCTAGGCTCTGACCTAAACAGGAATCCCATTCACAGAACAAAAGGCATAGTCACCCAGAGGACTCCCCTGGGTCTATAAGCAAAGAATCAGAATACCTTATTTCCTGTGGCAAAAAGTACTCAAGGAGTGGGTAAATGCCAAGGAGAACTCATGCTGACCCCAAGAAGCAGAAGGGCTGGGCTCATTACGTACTTGAGGACCTGGGCAACAGTGTTCGGCCCGTACCACTGGCCTATAGACTTGCCTTCGCCAACTCCCATTTGCGCTGCAGGAAACAGAGCCAAGTTAGCAAACACATCCGTTCTAGAGAGCCTTACTTTTGGTACATCAGTAAATGCTTCACGGAAAGGTCTACACACCACACACACACACACACACCAGGCCTGACTTTCGGTCCATCAGTAAACACTTCATAGACACGTTCTATTAAGGTCTGCCCTCCTAAGGAAAGCAAACCTTGAGGATGAGCCTAACTCACAGACTGCATGGAATCAGTCACTGAAGGCAGGGGCAGGGGCAGGGGCAGGCTAGGGTCTGAGCTAGTGCTGGAACACCAACAGCAGCTCACAGGGGTCAGTGTTAGGGAGTGACCTAGAGCCTCATCTTCCATCTCTGCAAGATCTGGAAAGCTCCCAAGAGTCTGCCTTCTGCAAAGAGCCATGCCTGGGACACACTTAATCCCCACCTATCTGGTGGATGGAGTAGTAGCTGTCCTTCCTGTCGAGGAAAGCATTGAGGACGTTGAAGTAACTGTCAGGTTGCCTCTTCCGCTGAGTCCACCTCCAATCTATTGGAAACAAAACACAAGTAACAAACCTTCCTTTTACACAGTGCTCAATATCCAGATGGTGTACAAAACTTTATCTTTGAACCTTCTTAAATTTAAAAATCAAATTCTACAGGATCTCAAATATGCACTCACTAGCTCATCAAAACAAATCTAGGCTGAAAGCAGAAAGCTGTTTCGACAGCTTAAAGATAATTTCTTTTAAAAATCCATTTATATCAATATAAAATACAGGCCTGGTGGTTCAAGCCTATACAATCCCAGCTCTTGGGAGGCTAAAGCAAGATGCACTGGTTAGTTTTATGTCACAAGCTAGAGTCATTTGGAAAGAGGGACTCTCAATTGAGAAAACGCCTAGACATAGTGGCCTACACGAAAAGTCTTTAGGCATATTGATTAATGACTGTTATGGGAGGGCTGAGTGGTGCCAATCCTGGGCAGGTGGTCCTATACTGTTAAGAAAGCAGGCTGAGCAAGCCACAAGGAGCAAGCCAGAAAGAAACATTCCTCCATAGCTTCTGCTTCAGCCCTGCCTCTAGGTCCAAGCCTTGCATTACTGCCCTTATTTCCCTAAGACTGAGTGTGACCTGATGGTTCTGAGATGAATAAACCCTTTCCTCCCCAAGCCGCTTTTCATCATGGTGTTCTATCACAGCAAGAGAAACCCCAACTGAGACATAAGAGAATTGCAAGTTGAAGGCCTGTTGTGCAAAGAATTATCATTTTAAACTGTGTACCAGTTGTTTAAGCTCTAAAACATTTGTTTAATTCTGTAAAGCTATAGTTCTTTGCCGTCTACAACCTGATGGTCTAATAAAGAGTTGGATGACAATATCGAGGCAGGAGAAAGGATAGGCGGGCTGGAAGGCAAAGAGGATAAATAGGAGGAGGATCTGAAAGAAAAGAAAGAAGATAGAACAAGGAGATGAGGACATCAAGGGCCAGGAACCCACAGAGTAAGAGTGAAATTAAGATTTACGGAAGTAAGAAAAGGAAGGAAAGAGGACAGAGGCAACGGATAGGATCATTTAAGAAAAGCTGGCAAGGTCAGTGGTGGCGCACATCTTTAATCCCAGAGGATCTCTGTGAGTTCGAGGACAGCCTGGTCTACAAAGTGAGTTCCAGGACAGCCAGGACAGAGAAACCATGACTCCGACAAAAAAAGAAAAAAAAAAAAAAGAAAAGGGGGGGGGGCAGGAAACAAGACATGTTAAGGTCAGACAGTTACAGAAATAATAAGCCTCAGTGTCATAATTTGGAAGCTGGGTGACTACCCCCCAAAAAGAGTAAAGATCCCCAAAAAGCTGAAAGAGTCAACGTTCAGAAAAATACCCACAACAACAAAGGAAGGCCTGCCTGGGCAACTCAGTGAACTCCAGAATTAAAATATTAAGTAAGAGGACTATGAGTTGGAAGGATGGCTGCTCTTTCAGAAGACCCAGGTTCAATTCCCAGCACCCACATCTGTCTGGGTTTTTAGAGCCCATTCACTATGGTGCGATACCTTGCTTAGCCTTGATACGATAGAAGGAGCTTGATCCTGACTCAACTTGATGTGCCAGACTTTGTTGACCCTTTTTGATGAGTGGATAACAGATAGGTTTGGGGGAAGTATGGAGAGAGTGGGTGGGGGCGGGGGTGGGAGACTGTGGTTGGTATGTAAAATAAAAAAAATTTTAAATTAAGCCGGGTGTTGGTGGCCTATGCCTTTAATCCCAGCACTCGGGAGGCAGAGGCAGGTGGATCTCTGTGAGTTTGAGGTCAGCCTGGTCTACAGAGCAAGTTCCAGGACAGGCTCTAAAGCAATACAGAGAAACCCTGTCTTGAAAAACCAAAATAAATAAATAACATAAAAAAATTTAAATAACAAAAAAAAAAAAAGGGTTAAAAATATGATGAGCAGCACTGCAAGCTTCCTACAGAGATGGGAGAGAACTCTTGAATGGGCTTTCCACAGGGTGAGCATTGAGCAGTATGGCCTACTGGTTTTCACTGAGAAGAAATACACCCACGCACACACGCACATAAATTGTTGGTACTGGAGGTTGAACCTAGGGCCTTGATCATCCTAGACAAGCACCATAATCTATGTTTTGTCTGTAATATGCTTTTTTGTTATGTTTTCTGTTTTTTGTGAGACAAAAAGAAGCTTTGTAACCTTGGCTGACCTGGAACTCTCTATGTAGACCAGGCTGGCCTCCAAATCATAGAAACCCACCTGCTTCTGCCTCCCCTGGGGCTGGGATTAAAGGTGTGTACCACTATGCCCAGCTTCTGTAATGTACTTTAAACACCCCTTACTACACAGACTCCATTTAAGCAGCATGACTCACCTCGACCTAGGTGCCTGCATACCAGGGCCTGGGCAAAGATCATCTGACCACAGCGAAGCATGCAGCCCCAGCCTGTGTCTGAGGTCGGGCCAGTTCCCCCTGTGTGGAAGACAGAATAAGCAGCATTCACAATCAGAGGACCCAACAGAGGCCAGCAACAGGATGCATTTGGACAGCTCCATACATAGCACAGGCATTGACCCACTCACACATCTGCTATCTCAAAGCACAACTCTGAGGACTCAGAAATGCAAGATCCACATATCTGAGAGGTAGAATGTAACAGGCTTTCTTTTGGACACCAACCAGCTTCAAAAAAAAAAAAAAAAAAAAAAAAAAAAACTTATTTATGAACGCTTGGCCTTAGTTTAGCTCATTTCTTGCTAGCTCTTATAACTTAACTTATAACTTAAACTGTTTCTCTTCATTTACATTTTGCCTCTGGGTTTTTTACCTCCCTTTCCTTCTGTATGTCTTACTCTGTGTCTGGCTGGCTGGCAGGTGCCTGGTTGGCTGGTCTTAGGCATCTCTTCTTTCTTCCTGGTCCTTTTTCTTCTCTCTCTTGTTCTCTCCTCCTACTTATTCTCTCTACCTGCCAGCCCCACCTATCCCTCTACTGCCTAGGTACTGGCCATTCAAGCCATTCAGCTTTTTATTAGACCAATTAGATGCCTTAGGAAGGCAAAGAACACATCTTTACATAGTTAAACAAATGCAACACATCTTTATACAATTAAACAAATTCTCCATAACAGTAGAATGTCCCAACAATCCCCACAAGATGGGCAAAATGTGAACAATCCATCATGCAGTGATAGAAACGCCTGGCCCACAAACAAGACTCCCCATGATTACTCTGGAAGATACAGAGAATCATTTCCCACTACCAGAAAGGCAGAAATGCAAACGCTCCTGATGCCCAGCACTGCTGACAGTCAGGGCTATGGTAGTCAGTAGCAAAGGTAATGACAACTCTACATTTTTCAAGCCTGTGCTTTGAGCTCCTCCACTCCTGTCTACTCACTGGGGCTTGGAAGACTGACATGGCACAACAGGAATGGGGAGAATGCTCTCAGCAGGCATTCAGGGCAATGCGACTGACTATGCAGCTCTGAGGAGGAGGGGCAGGCTCTGCAGCAGTCAGTGGCAGAGACGGGGTGTGAACTGTGGGCAGGGAACTCAGGTCAGTGGAGAGGGTCCCCATTTCTGTACCTGTCGCCACTCTCATCCCACAATCATCTCTACAAGACACAAGGAATATACAGGCCACACTTGGTTCTTAAGACCACGATGAGCTGCTTTAACTGTCAGTTTTAATTGCCCATTTGACACAATCTGCAATCACCTGACATGGTAGTTAGCCTGAGAGTGGCCCCCACAAACACATAAGTTTGAACTCTTGATCCCCAGCTGATAGCACTGTTTGGGAAGAATTAGAAGGTGCAGCCTTGACTATGGATGCTTGGTTTCAGCCGTCTCAAGCCCCTATTGCTGTGACTTCTCAGCAAAGGTGGACGGTAACCTGAACTGTGGGCGAAAACAAGCCCTTTCTCCTGAGTTGCTTTTCCCAGGCCATTTTATGACAGGACAAAACAAAGACATCTCACCTCAGGGATGTTTAGAACTGCTCAAATAAAGAAAGTTTCTCTTGCTCTAGTATCCTCTTCAACACTCTAGTAGTTATTGTTTATCACGGTATCCTAGTTTAGTTTCTACTATGGTGATAAATACCGTGACCAAAACTAAAATTGGTTAATTTGGTTTATGCATCCTGACCACAGCTCATCACTGAGAGAAGCCACGGCTGGAGCTCAAACACGGCTGGAGACAGGGACTGACGCAATGCTGCTTACTGGCTTGCTTCTTGACTCCCCTTCAGCTTGTTTTTTTGGTTTGCTTTTTGTTTTTGTTTTTTCGAGACAGGATTTCTCTGTGTAGCTTTGGAGCCTATCCTGGAACTCACTCTGTAGACCAGGCTGGCCTTAACTCTGCCTCCCAAGTACTGGGATTAAAGGAGTGAACCAATACGGCCTGGCTCAGCTTGTGTTTTTTTTTTTTTTTTTTTTGCTTTTTGTTTAAACACAACCCAGGACTACTGTTTTGAAATATTAGTTTGACTACATAAAGATTTACTGCAATTGTTCACAGAATATTTGTTTAACTACGTAAAGATGTGTTGCTGTTTTACCTTGCTTGTTAAGGCACCTGATTAGGCTAATAAAAAGTTGAATGGCTAATAGCAAGGAAAGAGGTACAGGTGGGACTTCCGGGCAGGGAAAGTAAGTAGAAGAATTTAGACTTGAGAAAGAAAAAGGAGGTGACAGGAAGACACAGGGGCCAGCTAACTAGACACAGAGGAAGCAGGAAAGAAAGCTGGACATACAGGATCAAAGAAAGGTAAAAAGCCCAAGGCAAGATGTAGACGAGCAGATACAAGTTAAGTTAAAAGAGCTAGTGGGACAAGCCTGAGCTAAGGCTGAGCATCCATAATTCATAAGAGGTCTCCATGTCTTTATTTGGGAGCTGGCTGGTGGCCCAAAGAAAATGCTGACTACACACTACCTGTTCAGGGGTGGTCCCAGCCTCAGTAGGCTGGACGCTCCCACATCAGTCATTAATCAAGAAAATGCTTATACCCACAGGCCAATCTGATGGTTCCCTCTTCCCAGAAGATCCCAGCTTGTGTCGAGTTTAAAAAAGGGAAGAAAAAGAAAAAAAAAAGAAAAAGAAAAAGAAATGCCAGGCATTGGTGGCTCATACCTTTAATCCCAGCACTCTGGAGGCAGAGGCAGGCAGATCTTTGTGAGTTCGAGGCCAGCCTGGTCTTCAGAGCAATTCCAGGACAGCCAGGCTACAGAAAGAAACCCTGTCTCAACAACAAAAGCAAGCAAACAAAATAAATAAAAAACACAAACCAAACTGACCAGCATAGAGCCAGTCTCAAAAGCAATCAAACTACAACAAAATTATTGTCGAGACCCTTTATCCTGACTACAATGCCCAGCGAAAGCTGGCTGACAAGGAGATAGCAAGCAGCTTCACAGGTTGTAGAAAAGTGGGATACTCCAGCTGGGGAGACAGCTCAGGGAGCATGCCAGGCCAGTGCAAGGACCCGAGTTCAGTCCCTGGAACTGGCATAAAGCTCAGTGCAGTAGCACACTTCTGAACCCAGGGCTCCTACACAAGTAGGGAGGCAGAGTCCCCAGGATCTGGACCAGCTAGACCGACATGCAGTGATGACTAATAAGAGACCTTGTCTCAAACAAGGTGAAAGGCAAGGACTAAAACTGTAGGCTGTCCTTTGACCTCCATATATGTGCCTGAATCCCCCACACAGACACAGACAGATATGTAGATTAAAAACAAACAAACCAAAACATTTGAAAAAGATAAAAAAAAAAAAAAAAAAAAAAAAAAAGTACTCACCAATGGCTGGAAAGTTTCTCCTGTATGTAAACCAGAGTCTGGATGCCACATCAGACAAGATTTCGTCCTTCTCTAGTTATTTAAAAGAGGGAGACAAACAAAGTGAAAGTCAGCAGATAATTGTCATCTCAAGATTTCTGCAGAAGTAATCAGAGCCAAGTGGATAATACCTGTGAAAATGCTGTATTTTCTGCCCAGAATCCAAACAGGCTCTGAGGTCTCAGGGAAATCTTCGAATTCAGCAAACCGGAGAGTATCATATGTCAAGGTGGCTGTGGAAACAGAAACACATTTGTCTGATTTCATTTTTTTGTTTGTTTTGTTTATTTTGAGACAAGCCGCTGGTCTTGTCCTCACTGCCACGCCAGCCCCAAATAACACACTGAGACTCTGTGTTTGATATAATGGTGTTGGCCAGTTACTTGTCTCTTATCGGCTAGCTTTGTCTTAAGTATTAACCCACTTCTGTTAATCTATGTATTTCCACATGGTCTTACTGGAGAGCCAGCCAGCGTCCTGCTCTCTCCAGACTCTCCATCTTGACTCCTACTCCTCCTTAGTACTTCCTCGAATCCTCCTTCTCTCCTAGTCTCCTAGTCTTATTGGCCAACAGTGCTTTATTCATTAACCAGTATGAGAAACATATTTACAGAATGACATCTGTTTTTTTGTTTGTAAAACCCTTTTTTAAGCTTTTGTTAAATTTTAAGTGGAAGTTCTTATTAGCCACATTGGCGCCATATGTTAGGAGTAAGGTTTTTCCGCCAGCCGCTGGTCCCCGCCGCCACGCCAGCCCCAATTAACACACCGAGACTCTGTATTTGATATAATGCTGTTGGCCAGTTGTCTCTTATCGGCTAGCTCTGTCTTAAGTGTTAACCCATTTCTACTAATCTATGTATTTCCACGTGGTCTATCTTACCGGAGAGCCGGCTGGCATCCTGCTCCCTCCAGACTCTCAATTGTTTCTCTATATTGCAGCCTGTCCTGCTACTGGCTCTATAGACCAGGCTGGCCTCAAACTCACAGAGATCTGCCTGCCTCTGTCTCCCGAATGCTGGGATTACCAGCTTGTTTTTGGTTTTTTGTTTTTGTCTGATTTCACACTGAGATCATTTCTGCACTAAAGATTCTTTCAACACCTGTGTCTTTGCAGTTTCCTAATAGCCTCATGAACAAATATATGAGCATACAAGACAGACAGCCTGTGAGATTGTTGCTGTGCTGAAGGCTGGGCATGGCAGTCAGATGAGCTCTCCAGAGTCTAAGTCACTGAATCATCATCTGACACAGGAAAGAAACTTTGAGCAAAATTTCAAACATTTTTTTTTTTTTTTCTTTTGGAGACAGGGTCTTCCTACACAGCTCTGACTGCCCTGGAACCTGATATGTGCCTTCCAAATGCTGAAATCAAAGGTGTGCACCACCATGCCCAGCTTTACATTTTGAGACAGGGTCTCACAAATCCCATCCTTGAAATGTAGCCAAGAATGACCTTAAACTCCTGATCCTTCAGCCCCTAATTCTTGAGTGCTGGGAACTGAACCCCCATGCTGGCTTCATGTATTCTAGGCAAGCACTCTACCAACTGGGCTACAGCCCCAAGAAGGCGCCCTCTAGGACTCTCCCAACCACCTGCTATATACTGTGGATACGGATACCCAGGGTATTCAGCTTCTGTGCTAGTGAAAGGACACAGCAAAGGTGGGCACCACCTCTGAGCCCTGGGAGCCAGAGTCTAAGTCTAGCTAGGGCACTCACAAGGCACTCCTAAGCCATTTATATAACTTGAGTGTACACAATCACTCTCCCATAAAAATGGGGTAATAACAGGGCTGCTTTACTACACAGCAATGAAGCTTTCATGAAAGATCTCCCATGAGGTGCTGGCAGGCAGACAGAAGGGCATCAATGTCAGTCAGTGTCATTAATATCAAGGCAAGGATGCAGAATCACAGAATTGAAAGCATACACATTTTACTATGACCAGAGGGCTTCTCTGGGTACAGTCACAGGCTGGGAAATGCTGGAATGTACCCTCAGAAATAGAAGACAGACTGACAAGTCCTCAGCAACAGAGGCTTTCTGAGAAAGGCAGGGCCAGGCCCAGTAGTAGGCCTTGTCCTGGAACTCTGTACTGATTTTAGCTGTTTATTTCCAAGACAATGTCAACAAACTGCTTGGTAATCCTATGCCCAACTTAATCTCTCCCATTCTTATATACGGTTATTTTAGTACATGATGCTAAAGGCTAAGTTGGGATAAATTAGCATTCATGTTCATGTTTTCAAGAAGTCAAAAAACATCATGCGTCCCTAATGTCTAAAGCGGCAAAACGCTGAGTAGGCAAATTTCTTAGGTTTATTAGCAAATTTCACAGGTAAGGAAGCCAACTTCAAAGTGAAAGCAGTAAGTGGGGCTCTATTAAGTTCAAATGCATCACCAAGTCTACTATCGTAACTATGAAAATTATGGGTTGTGGAGCTTGACAAACCAACAGCCAGGCTTGGGGTGAAGAAACCAGAAGGAAACAAAACTACAAAGAGGCAATCACAACTCCCACAGCCTCATAGCAGCTAAGAAGCAACAGTAATCTCAATGGTCTGTGGAGAGAAGTGCCCCGTCCTCCAACAGAACCCCACACTCCACTGAGTGAGTCGCCTTTCCCTGGGCCTAGCTAGCTGCAGCTGCTATCTGTGCCACTCTCCCATTCTTCCCATCACACTGCATCCTCCGCAAGTCAGAACAGGATTTACTTTGTTCCTGAGAGTAAGCTGCAGGAGTATATGCACCTGTCAGAGTATCAAAGGCATTCCTTCCTGTGTGGTCGTCAAGAGCAGAGCTGTGGAACCACGGGTCTGAAGCCACCAAGGGCAAGTGTCCTTCCATGTCTCTGTTTTCTTACTGGTGAAGTGGGAACAGCTATGTACTTTCCTCACTGGGCTGGGGAGAAAGGGTTCTAGAACTCTGAACCAACTGGGAGTGCCTTAAGCACACTCTCACAGAGCCAGCCTTCTCCAATTCTTGAAATAACTTTGTGGAAAGAAATCCATTCTGTTCCTAAATGGGAGTGTAACAATGTACAGGAGATTCAAGTCAAATGTGTTTCTTTGCCAAAACAGATTCTAACCCAACAAACTTTCCACAAGAAAGGCAAACAGTCCTGGCGTGATGGCACACACCTTTAATCTCAGCATTCTGGAGGCAGAGACAAGTGGATATCTATCCAAGGAAGCCAGGCATACAGAGTAAGACTCTGTCTAAAAAAGAAAGAAAGCATGCATTCACGCGTACACACACGCACGCGCACACACACACACAGCCTTGTAAGTGCATTTAGAGCAGAAAGCAGCTATGCTACCACAAGGGCCAGCACGGGTGACTTTGACCTTTCACCTCGGAAAATGAGCACCTAAGGCTCCATGGCCTCAATGATTCCAACTAGAAGGGCACACGAAGGCGCTCTCTTCCTTTTGTTGTTACAGGTATCCATCCCACCGGTCTGGAGGACAGGAGGTGCACACAAGCCACCATTCCCACAATACCCCACTTACATGGGCATACCACAATGTCAACTGAAACAGACAAACACACAGTTTGAGAAGCCATTCACAGAGCATCATCCAGGCCAAGCTGACAGGGAAGAGAAATTCCTGACCCTCTGGAACTTTATTAAGTAACAGTTTTCAAACTGATTATGACTGAGGCTTGCTTCTGGAGGTAAAGCCCACACCTGGAGCCATCATCCACATGATACCCATCGCCAAGCTTCTATGGCCTCACTCAAGAAATAGGATGAGAACCCAGACAGGTGCAAAACCTAAGCTCACCACCACCAGTGAGAGTCCCAGCACAAGGACTCGCCCCTCTGGACGTCAACTGGCCTCCACACTTCTCCAGCGTTCTTTAGTTCAACTGCACCACCCCTGTTCTATCTTTATACCCAATGCATGCCACTTACAAAGCATTACAAATGGCCCAAGACAGAAAAAACAGTTTCCAAACCCCCAGCAATAAGTTAAATGTGGCATCAGACAACACACAGGGGAAGTAAGGGGTCCCTGAAAGAGCTCTTCCATTTGGTCAAGCTCCCTAGAGGCTGACTTCCCCACCCTCTTCCTGGGACTTCTGAGATCACAACTGAAAGGGAAAATGGAAAGTGTTTTAATAATATGACAGTTTAGTTAGGAAAAGTACTATGATTTAATATCATTTCTCCGACTACCAGAAAAACAGAGAACCGTGCTCAATGAATGGAACTAACCTTTTTACTTAACCACAAATTACACTGTCATTCAAGCAGCGAGAATCACAAAAACATAGCCAGTAGATCTCTTTTAAAGATTACTGCAATATATCTTATGTTGTGGAATAATCTTTTTGTACACCATGAAGATGTGTCTCTGCCTAAGGTAACTTCTGATTGGTTTAATAAGAAGCTCAATGGCCAATAGCTAGGCAGCAAAGACTAGGCAGGACTCTGGGGAGAGAGCGGAACTCAGAAAGAGGATTAAGGTTTGTAGATTAAAGCAGTTAAGACTTGGAAGGAATTGGAAGTATAGTATGGAGGGGAGGTATGAGCCACGTGGCAGAACATTGATTAATATAACAGGCTAATTTAAGTTTTAAGAGCTAGTTGGGAACAAGCCTAAGCTAAACTAAGCAATCATAATTAGTAAGAAGTCTCCATGTCATAATTTGGGGACTGGAGGCCCAAAGAAAGTCCAACAATAATCTGATTCTTATACTTTTGAAGGTAAGAATGATGCTCAACCTTGGAGTCTGAGGAAGGAGGGTCATCTGAGTTTGAGGCCAACTTGGGATACACGGAAAGTCCCTATCTCAAAAGTTTGTTTGTTTTTTCAAAGGTTTGTTATTGCTTTTAAGAGGAAACTCGTGCCTGGCAATAGAAACCTAGCCAGCAACCTGGGCTAGAAGACCTTGGGTCCTGGAGAACCTACAATCATTACATTACTACACCCCATATGCTCACAGATAGGTGCAGTTCTCACCCAACAAAGAAGCTTCTCAACAGATGAAAACTGTTACAAACACAAGAGGACAAGTGACCATGTGGTACCCATCCCCAACTGTTACATCTACAACATATCTCCTGAGATTAAGACTCAGGGATCATCAGGAAAGAGGGGCCAAAAGACTCTAAGCGCCAGAAGGACAGAAGTTTGCTGTGAGAGTACATCTCCTGGAAATGTCAGAAGCTACCCATAGAGTCTAATTAGCATAGCGCCTAAACAAGACCTGAACAAGGGTG